CTCCAGGAGGAGCTTAGGGCGGATTTCAGAGCCGGCCTTCTGGCATTGGTCACGAAGACGTCTCGTCCAGCCGTCATAGGGACGGATGTAGAAGATAAGCTTCGAGGACTCCTCCTTCGAGGTTGCGTTCTCGTAACATCCCAGAGTGAAGGGGTGGTTTTCCCAACCGCGGAGAGTGACGGGTTGGTAGAGGTAGTAGTGTTGGCCAGGGCCGGGCTTCAGGGTCTGAGAGGCAGGGTACATCTCGACGCGGATCAGGTCGCTTTCAGGACTATAGGTGACCGTGGAGGAGGTCGTCGAGATGAAGCCCTTTCCGAACTTGACGTGGAGGTTGCAGTAGAGCATGCGTACATAGCGGACGGTACGATCGAAGCCCCAAATGGCAACCATGGGCCAGAGGTAGCCGTTGTAGACGGTTCCGTCGAAGCTGGTGTGGCTGCAATCTTACAGTTAGAGGTGGTGATGTGAATTGCGTTGTTAAGGAGAGCATACCGGAACAAGGCGTAGATGGTCAGAATGGCCAAGAGGACGTGAATGATGAGGAAAGTCTCGTAGAATCTCTGACGAAGCCAAGTACCAGACTGGAAGAGTATAACTGCCATAACAACGGTAGCCTAGAAAATGATTAGAATTTTTGGGCACCCCATATTATCAGAATAGCTATAACATACCACAATACCCATGTAGAAGTAGTTCTGCTTCAGCGCGCTATGGTATCTGCCATCTGTATGTAGGATATGTTGTCAACGGTATGTAAATGGTGGAACTGGTTGTGATAAGGGGGCTAACCATAAACCTGGAAGACCACAGTGTAGGCGATTGAGTGAACAATAGCCAAAAGGGTACACACCCAGGCGGTGTGACGGTGGAAGATGTTGAAGGACTGCACATTGAAATCGGTCGCCCAGAGGAAAATATTGTTGCGTCCAGCAAAGAGCCAAAGGAAGGGCAGGCAAGCGTAGGACAAAACACCAGTGCGGTCGGACGAATATTGCCAGTTTTGCTGGTACAGACTCGGCGTGCTTGAAGTTGAGCCATTAGTTAAAGCGAACTAGCCCTGAGTAGACTGATAACGCACCTGATGTTACCCGCGAAACTTTCGTAGTTGACGCAAGACAGGATGATAGCGACGGCCCAGAAACCAAAGACGATCAAGGTGTCCAGTCGTTTGGGAATGGTGTGAAACAAGAACAGCTGTTGGTGGTTCGACAGGTAGGGAGCGAAGCTGGCAGGAATCACAAAGTATGTGCGCATAAAGTGTGCAACTGCAGCGACTGGTGCGAATGCCTTGCTTTGAGGGCCTGCACTGTTTTTCTCGGCGTCACCAGAACTAGAAAGTCTCATACTAGAACGGACAAACTTCCAGGCCTTCACTATCATTCCAAGGGCCAGGACACCGCCCCAGTATCCCATGAGACCCCATCCGTAGCGTTTGTCTTTGATCAATGCATAGTCGTGAGTAACCTGAGCTCATGTTAGTAGACTAGTGGTAGGAATAGTCAAGCAGCTGACCCACGTAAGACTTGTAAGCCCGCTTGTAGTAGGAATGGCTCAGAAGGACAGGTGATTCAATGGTTCCGGTCGTAGTAGTACTATTAGTTTCCGGGTCGATAACAGGCAAGGAGGCAATATAGGCGTCGGTGGCATTGGCTTCAATCTCGGTCAGGCTAATCAGGGACACGCTGCTTTGTTCACAAAGACTCTCCCAGTAGGATGGGATTGCGGAACTGAGTTGTTCCTCAGTGCACCACGCCTTTGCACTGGCATACAGGGACATGACTCCCACTGTACTCGTACAACCTCCCGTTGAACTGGCACCATGATGGCCACGCTTCTCTCGCATGGCTCGGCGACGGTGTGAGCTTGAGCTGCTGGACGAGCCATGTCCAGAGCTACTGGAGGAGCTGCTGGAGGAGCTGCTGGAGGAGTTGGTGGAGGAAGACTGGCTGGAAGACCCATGCGCTGTGGTGCCGGAGTCCGACGATGTCGAGGTTGCCCCTTCGAATGTGTATGAGCCGAGGGACGAATATATAGAGTAGAAGCAATAATCAGCCAGATTGGGAGCCGACATTGTCAAGCCCTGCCCGGCGAGGACCGGGCTCACGGCCCAACTCAGTCCAAGCAAGATGGCAGCCTGGGAACGCATATTGAGATGGATGAGCTCAAAGTCTGTCTGACCAAGTCGAGGAAGCCCATTGCCCGGTATATATGTCTGGCCAGACTTTTGCCTTCTATTATCATACGGTGCCTAATGGGACCCATTCTAATCGCTGGATTGCAAATACATCCGAGCCCAGCCAACTGAAGTCTCTAGAAAGAGGAGGTATTTTTTAGCAGATTTTTCTTCTCCAGTCATGCCTTGTACAAAATTCCGGAGCAGCCGATGGTGGGAAGCGTTGTATCATACCCCATCTACTGGTCCGGTAAATTGCGCCCACGAACCATTGACCCATATGGTTGGACGTGCCAAGAGGCAAGAGATTGATAAGTCGGAAATAACGATCCAACCAAGTACACGTATGCCTAATCCTCGTCAAAGTGACTCTTCCCCGTTCATAGGAGCCCGTATCTGTAGCCACCGACGACGGTGCCCACCAGCCATGTGGGCTGCCAAGAACTAATATCGCCGAAGCTTCATCAGATAAGATCCACAGGCCAAGCAGCGGCCATATGACTGACAAGAAATTCTTGGCCACTTGTACTTGGCCCCCCCAACAAGGCGCCACCAGCTGGAAAGTCGTGCTTGGCAATAATGCAACGACGTACGGGCCGTCGGTCATCTCCCGGCTTTGACTCATGACTTAGTAGGTTCCTTTTAGAAATGGTAGTTGATGTATGTGCCTCGGGCGCTGTATCCGAGCCCCGGGTGGTCCTAAGCGAGATAGCGGATTGTTACGGTCTATCTTGGCATCAAATTCTTACCATATTGGGACTCCTCCCCACGTTCGGTGTGGTTGTTCCAGGTTTGTTGTCGCAAAGTATACACGTTTCAGGGTAACCTGTCCGCGTTCCTGCGGCAATTATGTACGCATTGTATGATTGTGATAATTTTGCTGCTTGGAATGACGCCCTGCTCATGGTTGGGTTGTAGGTTGCACGTATTGGATTCAGACTGCTCCTATCAATCTTGAAAATCTGGCCCAAAGCACAGGTTGCCGGTTGGGCAACATGACCGCACAAGTACTGAACATGTGACCATGTTATGTTACGATCAATTAACCTTGCGTAAACCAGCAAATCTTGCATCGGTCCTAGATTTTATCGGCGAAGAACCCTTTTTGCAATGAAGATATGTGGGTGTCAATCCCACGCCTGGAGGCAGTCAAAATTTCGCCCGTTGAACTTCGCACCTAGTATCCACCCTTGTCCGAGGCAAGCGACCGATCCCTCCCCGCCTCCTATTCATCTAATGGCCCCATGACCAATAGGAGGAGGAGATGCAAGTCACTAGAGAACTCCCCGTATGGCGGTCCCACCGATCCGCCGCTGATATCCCGAGGGAAGGTTTTGAGAAAGAAAGGAATTAGTTTGCGAGCCTAACCTAAAGCTTAATTAGCGAGTACACTAGTATTGCATGGCGCAACCGAGTTCTGTGGGTCATCTTATCAATCAACAATACTTGTATGGAACGAGTGGTAATTTTACGTCCACTGTGCCTGACGATCCTCGAAAGATAACTTGAATCTGCTTTGGTCCCATGCACATAACCTTTATTCTGGAGCACCGGGGAGTGTTGTAGAGGCGAATCAGCTAGCTAAGTATGGATTGAATTGGGACATTGTATGTGGATGCAGCCGTCCTGTCTTTTTCGGCCATGGGTCGAGTAATTGTACGATTCTATGGTGCCGGTCAAATCAACCACTGGTATAACCGCACTGGCGCCTCGATATACAGGAACAGGGCATTCGTCAAGTGGCCTTCCTTGATTAGTGTGAGTAGCATCGGCGGGAGAAGATTTCTCCCTTGGGTACTCTGGCGTCCTTCTAGATGGCTCTGTCCCTAAATTTTAGTTGATTCCAACTATGAAGGTATAATAACCAACACCGGGGTCCCACATACGCCTAAGTAATCAATCTAGTTGACCTTTCCACTAAGCTCTGGCACTATAGCCATGTTTCGACCATATCCACCGTCTTGGTTCAGGTACCTCGATAGGAATTCTCGTCAGCGTTGTTGTCGCAGAACAATTACGGCGTGAAATGCCACATTTTCTTCCGATCTCCTGTGTATATCTGAGTAAATCGTACCTTGTGACAAGAGTAGAGCATACCTCTGTTATGTGGTGGTTTAAGGAGCATTGCCCATAGTAAATCCGTTATAATGCCATGTGTCTTGGCGTGTTTCTTGGCAAGGCGTTGAAGTATCTCGAATACGGTAACTGTATCGTTACAGCCGACTATCAACCCAAACTTCAACCATCCGCCTGCTGGGGCGCCCATTTTTTGACCGGGTACGATTTATCAGATCCTTGCCCATGACTCCAGTAAACCAATCGCTTCTGACCTCCTCGCTATCAGATTTTTTCTTGCGTCTTGGCAAACATCCTTGACCCGCTTATAGTTACCAAGGCCACGCCTCTGAGACCCTTTGCATGCCGCGATAGCCATACTTTGGGCATATGACCAGAGATTATTCCCTGTGAAGATTGATAAGCGAGGACCGGAGTGGCCATTTTTGTTACGTAGGTAATTCAACATCGTATACACCCGGACGCTGGAGGCCCGGTCGAATTTGCTCCTAGTGCCATGGCAATTTCGGTGTGGTGCCTCTACAGATGGTTGGAGTGGCACCTGAGCCGCTGAAAAGACGCATCCGAATGGGTTGCGGGAATCGGAGAGACTTAGAGAAATTTGTCGTTGATCCGCTGGGGTATATGTTGCTATCGTCTCCCTCGGTCATTGCAGAGACCGAGACAAGACATTTGGCTTGGACTCTCATTCACTTCTGACCCTTTCAACTGTCTCTTCGGGTTGCCTTGGACAAGGCTTACTGTCGACAAGATGGCCAACAGTGTGTTTGCAGTGACAGGTACGATACCTCTGGCTCTTGCACCTCAATATAGCAAGACATTTGCCCTTTGATTTGGTGCTCACAATATACAGTTTTCTTCATCTGCTTTCGTGAATGTCTCGAGAGTGTCATTATCGTCTCCGTGCTTCTGTCTTTCCTGAAACAGACACTAGGAGGAGAAGGCGATGTGCAAACCTTAAAACGATTAAATCGACATGTATGCCTTTTCCCCCACAGAGATTCACTTTCTCCCTTCTTACATAATCCAGGTATGGCTTGGTGTAGCATTAGGTCTCTTCATATGTCTATGTGTCGGTGGTGGTATGATTGGTGCCTTCTACGGCCTCAACAAGGATGTCTTCACCGGCAGTGAGGATATCTGGGAAGGTATCTTCGGTTTCATCGCTTCCATCATTATCAGTATCATGGGTGCTGGCCTGTTGCGTGTCTCGAAGTTGCAGGACAAGTGGCGTGATAAGCTGGCCCAGGCTCTTGAAGAGAAGGAGAAGACCAACATCGGTATTTACCAGCGTTTCAAAGACTGGTCCAAGAAATATGTCATGTTCCTTCTTCCGTTCGTGACTGTTCTTCGTGAGGGTCTTGAAGCCGTCGTGTATGTCGGTGGTGTGGGTCTCGGTCTCCCTGCTACTTCGTTCCCTCTCGCAGTCGTTTGTGGTCTTGCTGCCGGTATTGCTGTCGGATACCTTCTATACAGGTTAGTTTGTCCACCCTTGCTGGAAAGGTTTACGGTTCAGTCTAACATTTCTACTCCAATAGATGTGGTAACACTGCCTCACTGCAATACTTCCTGATCATCTCGACCTGCTTCCTCTACCTCGTCTCCGCTGGTCTCTTCTCCCGTGCCATCTGGTATCTCCAGAACAACGCCTGGAACAATATCATCGGTGGTGATGCCTCCGAAACAGGTTCGGGAGCCGGTTCCTACGATATCCGCCAGAGTGTCTGGCACGTCAACTGCTGCAACCCCGAACTGGGTAGCGGTGGTGGATGGGGTATCTTCAACGCCCTTTTCGGTTGGACCAACTCTGCTACCTATGGATCCGTGCTGGGTTACAACCTCTACTGGATCTGTATCATCATTGCCTATGTTTGCATGTGGTACAATGAGCGTTACGGCTACATTCCGTTCTTCTCGGCCTGCATGCGCAGAATCCGCCCTAAGAAGGCTGCCAGCCGGTCCAGCAGTGAGGGCGTGATTGAGAAGAGCAAGGAGGTTGATATGATGCCATCGCAGATTGTCACCAGGGAGATCAATGCCTGAGCGTAGGGCTAAATGTTTTACCGTCGGTGTTGTGGTGAACACCGTTAATGAAATTTGGAGGGTGCTAGGAAAGATGAGGGGCCTTGAAGAAAGGAGGTTGCCCACCGCGCACGGCCAGGCAACAGCTAGTGATTGCGATGATTATGTTCGGATCTACGGGTTGGGAATGTCAGTTCCCGCCACATAATGCTATTACGGTGGAAAAGCTAGAGGAACTAATTATTTTTGTGAATCAAAATTGCAACTATTATTCCCACCGTCGGCTGACAATCATCCATCATTGTAGGCTGATCGGAACATCTGATCTGGAATTGGGAACATGAGGGGAAGAGAACACAACTAAGAGACTGCAAGTCTCTCTACCTCCGATACTGCATGACGAAATTCGTAGTACGCGTCAATCAACAGGGAAGGAAAGATAACTGAATAGGTGGCGAGCAAGGCTCGGGGATAAGCGCTGGCGGCTTGAGCTCAATGTGGATCCTCCGAGCTGCGGACAACATAGCCAGCCGCCATATAACTATACGAGAGCCCAATAAACTTAGAGAGAGGTGAGTCCCATTTAAACTCCAACAGTTTGATGATCATGTATCATTCAATTTTATTAACGTGCCTAACAGCCTTCTCCATGACTACCACCACCACGGCCCTCGCGATCGGGGAACCGCAACCCATGCACAACGCCAACCACATCTTCAACGCCATCCACTCCTCCATGCGACAATGGGGATCATCACTTCATCATAATGGAATGTCTTTTTTTCTTGCTTCTGTCCCGAAGGGAGTCAAGCTCTATCACGGTGACACACGATCAGACCCCATCTCCAGGATAGGCTGGATGGCTTTCGACCCCGAGCACGCCATGGTATTCGCTCGAACTCCTTCAAAACAGCCATCTCACAGCGTGGACTCCGAGTCCCAGCAAGTAATGATTACCCCATCTGAGACTGGCTGGCTTCACACCTACGCGACCACGGAAGACCTTCGCCTCGTTTACATTGACGGTACCTCGGCGGGGAAGTCACAAATAGGCACACTGGACCTGCAGGACAGAGTCCTATTCGAAGTTAAACTGGAGCATGGAGGCGTAAGCCAAGAGTCAGCGCGCGCTCGCGCCATTTGTGAGATCGTGCAAGAGGAATGGAATGGACGTATCGACGGCGTGATCCGGATGGCAGCAGGTTTTGAGATCATTCTCTGTAATCCCGAACAGAAGCTAGACACAGTCAATATTGCTCGAGTGACGCTTCCCAGTCGGGATTCCGCAAAGAAGAGCGGCAAACCTGGTGACTTGCTTCGGACGGTCACATCAAGGTACCATGGCATTGGCGGCGACCGGGTCATTGTCAACTATGACGCTTTCGTCACTGCATATGACTATGGTCTCGATCTGTTCCATGGTGGTAGCAAGCATCCGCGTCTTGCGCATCTCCCTGCTTCATCGCTTGCGCCCATTAGGGATGATTTGACTGTGCTAGTCATGAATCACGATCCTACGACGCGGGTGATAAACTGGCAAGGAGTGGTGGATATGGTGGTTGAGAAATACGGTCGCATTCTGCGCGGCTTAGTATCCGCCCATCATGACGATCAGGCTGCTCGTCTCGAATTTATTATGGAGACGGCAGAGCGTATATTATCCCCATTTGTCGATCGCGACAATCGTGATTATTACGCTGAGATTGACCGATGTGCTAGCCAGTTCATTCCAACTCATGCTCCTAAGGACTCTTTGGGCTACCGAGCTGTCTATACTGTTAGCAGCAGGATCTGTAGCAGTCTAATGGCAGTCATGGAGGCTAAGGAGTACGGTATAGTGACAACTATTCTGCAGGACCTGATGCACTATCTTGACTGGAGTGTATGGAAGGAGTGTTCTGGTTGCCAGGATGATGAATTTTGTGCTGTTCCTATCTGGCCGCAGGGGTCACAGGAAGATTACGATCATCCGCGATGCCAGAAGTATGATAGCGCCTTTCAGGGGGACAATGACTACTGGGGCCCTGTGTGGCGTTAGTTCGCACAGATATCCTTGGTCTATCTTTTGCATGTTATACTGGAGTTTTTATACGGTGTTGGGTTTGGGTAGTTAATTGAGTTTGCGACTATAGATTCTACATCCATCACATCTTCACATATCACATGAGCAGACCGTCTTGTATACTTGAACAGAGTTTTTTTTAGCAATTAAGATAGTGACATTCTCCCTTGACACCGTGGCGGTGCTGCGATGAGTCCCACACTCAATCTGGGTCCCCTCGCCGCCGATTGCCAGATTCGGAAACTGACGCCGACCCCGGCCATCCTCCGAAATCTATCACTGTCAGTCTAGACGGGCCCGAACCGAGCAATCCCACGCGCAATATTAGCACGGTTGATTTCCAGCCGACACAAATAATTGACCCCTGTGGGAATGGCTCACTAAGATATTCAGTGTCCGAGTGAACGGCATTTCACCCCCGGCTTATCCTGTACAGCCCTACGAAGATCACCCCGCTAACCCGTTCTGGTGACCCTTTGCGAACAGGCAGTGGGGGCTTGTCGGATGTTGGCTTATCCCTTTCTCGCTCTAGTAGACTTTTTTATTTGCTTTTCGTCCAGTGAGAGTTGTTGCTTTTCAATATGCGCTCTGGAGAATGCCCCCTGAGAAGTATTTAAGTTGCCTTGCTCCCTGCTCTTCAAGATGGGCGAGATACACTGCACGGATACACGTCGTTTGAGCAAAATATTTACAGGTAAGCATGGACAATGTCTTTAATATGGAGGTAAAAATATATTAATATGATAAAAGATATTCAGGTTTTGGAAAAAAGAATGCGACACGGAAAATCAGTTCAGGCATACAGTCGCCCAAACTGCTTTCGTCTCAGCATCGAGGGTATAAATCACAATGGTCATCGTGTCTCATAACACGGCATGAAAGTTTGCAGCTTACTGCACGGCCGTAAGGCTGCGAGTCATTGGGGATTGTTCAAGTATGCTTGAACGAGGTTCTTCCGGTCTACCATCTGCGCACAGGACAGAGGCCAACCGGTAACCCATGGTCGAACCAACACACTCGAGAGCAAGCCGGCAGAGACTCAATTGGTCTGCTGTCGCAAGCCCGGAATTTACGACCACCCACATCGGCCATAGAAGCGTGTATCCATTCGCCAGCTTGCTGTTGGGGTGCAGCTGGAATCCATGATTTGGGGTGACATGTCCCAATGTGTAAGTCACAGTGTCGCAAATCACCTCTATCAGGCTTCTGATCCGATCGTCTATTCCGCTGAAGGTCTCTACAGGGAAATCTTCAATATGTTCATCGTTTATCGCAGATGCAAATGGAACGAACTTCTCCCAACACTCGAACACGTGGACGAGATAGAGAATTTGTGCTGCCTGGACGACGGCCAAGAAGCATGGGGTCCATGGATCTCGTGAAGCAGCCTGCTCTGCATGATTCACTTGGCCCATACCCGGCACGGCAAATTGGCGTTTCCAATGTTGAGGGACTGCCTCGTCCCAAATGTTGATTTGTTCCATGATGAAATACGCCCGTCCCAAAATGGAATGCAATAACCGGGCCCTGGCGGTGGGCGGGTAGTTGTGTTCAGTTCTTCGGAACTCGCTGGCCCCTTGACAAAACTCGGAGATCATACTGGTAATTATCCCTGAGCGTAGCACGTAGTCGGGATTGTACGCCATGTTGATAGACGCTGGCAAGCAGGCATACGCAAACTGATTATTCGCTACCGCTTGAATTTGCTGAAACGTACGAACTAAGTCAACGATGGCTTTTGTGATTACAGTGGTTCGACTTACTATTTGAGTGAATGCCCAACCAAATAGTTTGCGGGCATATTTGCTACTGCGCTCCGGTCTACCCCGAAGATGCATTAAAGAGCATATTCCAGGGATATGAGGATTGACTGCCCCCTGTCTCTCGCCGCTTAGATCCTGAGGTTTGGTAAGCAAGTGGTGCCGGTTAATCCGGTCGATGTTGATAAGCTTACCATGAACATACTCAAGAATAGTGCAGCTGCAAACGTCTCGTCTTGAGTCGAGGTCTCCCTGTTGCTGAGTGACGCCGTGAGCGATTTCAATGCCACGCCATAATGCTTCCTAGCATTCACATAGAGCTCATTTACGCGAGCGGTGTTGAATAACGAAAGGTAGGATACGCTAAGGATGGCATGTCTCAAGGAAGGGTCATTGCCTTTCTCTTGATATAGCTCAGGAAGAAACGCAAGATGACCCTCACAGGGAGACTTCTCGGTAGGCAGGACATGCTGATGAAAGAAATAACAGAGTGATTGCCACTCCAGACATGGCGTTATCGCAGCAGGGGGGCTAGGTGGTGTGGATGGGGATTTAGTGGGAATCAGACGTGTATCCGTTCCATCTTGATCTGATACTGCCGCGGACGGTGATCTTGAGCCATTTGCGGGCTGTTCACCGTCCGTCGTCTTTTTGGTTCGTTTCCTGGCTGCTGCCTTGCCTGCTTGAGGTTCTTTCGTGGCTTTATATTCACGAAAGGCAAAGGCATCCGGATAACCCGTACACTGCCTTCCCTGTGTGACGCAGCGACGACATGCTGGTCGAGCCCCATCACACTGTTCCAGGTCAGTTAAGAATCACGTAGAAAGAGAGACAGAACAGCTTTTGTATCATTGTTATCGAACATACCTTCACTTTACGCCTCCGGCATACATAGCAGCCGGTGCTAAGCCTTCCAGGGAACACCATGTGTATAAGCGGCGGAGACGAAGCTACCAGATGCAGGCAAGGACAGATGCAGGTCAGCTCGGAGAATGGAAGAGGCTGTGATTTGCATGCAACAGGAATAGGCAGTGCTTGCGAGACCGACGATGTGATTCATTCCAGTGCAAAAAAAGAATAGCAAGCGGGCAGCAACTGCAAGTTTCAGATCCCCGTCTGGAAGAGGGGAAGTGCGACGGCTTTCCGCCACCAATCGGATATCGGGCGGGATCGACGCTCCGTTTCTGTCACGTGTGCCAGACCCTCGTCTATATGGTCTAGCGCTGTCGTGGCCCTACGGGGCCACTCGCAAAGTCACCCCAGGAAGGGTTTAGCGTCAGTAACGCCAAGACCGCACCGGGAGTGCGAGCCAATCATCAGCTGTTCGTACCAGCGGTACCAGGTTTCCCTTCCAAAAGGAGTGCTGCCGCGGTCTTGGCTTAAGCTTGACCTACTTTTTGAGACTGCCGACTCTATATCCGGTAAATGTTTATCCATACCCTGTACAGGGCACACAAAACCAGCTGGTGAGCCCTCATGCAACATGTGAAAAATTCATGTAATGGAGAGATGTTCCCGCTTACATACCTGGATCTAAATGCTCTCTACATCATCTCACATTCTACTACACCCCTGTCGGCCAGTACTAATATGTACTTTCGAGAGCTGGGTCCTCAACGCTTATACATCATTATAATATCACGAGTGCCTACGGAGAAAATGTCAAGTCGTGTATGGTAAACTACAGTCTCATTCTCCGTTTCATGCCTATCGTAGTAAGCTCAATGTTCGATCTACATATATCTAGGGTACTAATTATCAACGCACATCACATGAGCCCTCAGAAATCCTTTCATGCTTAGGGCCACTAAGTTCTCCTTCTCGGAAAGAGGGCCTCCCAACATTCCACCTAGGATTTGTAATACTTCGACTAATCAACTTGGCACATGAGTCAAATGCTCGAGTACCACTCTACTAACAATGCTTTGCGGGTAGACCGGCAGTAATGCTCGGTAGTATATCGGTCTCTATAACCACACTTCGGCTTTTCGAATGAGCGAGGACTAATGGAGGAGATAGGTGCCATTTTAGGAGAACCCATGCTACTTGACGTGAATTGTAGATATGTAATTGACAGTCCCCGTCCGGCATCTCATTCCACATATTCGAGGTCATATTTTGTGCAGGTTGTGTGTCCTATACGCTGCGCATAAGGTAGAGGGGCACGACAAAGCCGTATCCAATATTGTAGAGCAGAATACGTCATGAGGCACTCATCTTATTTCATCATCCGCCCGAGTGTTGTGGCCACCTGCTTGCTCTATCGAAAACCGTCATATCCCCTCAACCATGGCTTCCACCGTTCTTAAATACTGGTCCTTCCTTGTCGAAGAATTCTGCAACATCCGCCACCAATACCTCTGGTCGTTCCCACGCAATAAAATGTCCCCCAGATCTATGTTGCTTCCAAAATTGAATGTTGCAAGTCTCGCTCATCCAGTCGCGGGGGTATAACCACAGCTATCACAATGAATGAACTCTCAGTCCATGTCACGGATCTTCAAAAGCAGCCGACATACCTCCTTTGGAAAAACCGAACAACCGACAGGCTGGGATATATATCTGCCTAGCATACTGTTTCCGTCTTCATTCAAAACTGCCTCTGCCTCTTTGTAAATCTGCATTGCTGCACTCGGACTTCCCTGATAGTGTATGAATGTCCAATGAATGAGTTCTTCTTTTGTCCAAGGGTAGTCGTGGGTCCATGCCTTCAGTTTGCCCACTAGCCAAGCCAGCATACCGACGGGGGAGTCATGTAATGCGTAACCAAGCGTCACGTTCTTTGTCTCTTGAACCCGCTGATACCCGCGCTGTGGATGGCTTCAGTCAGATGCAAAGAGCAGTTAGTCATCTGCTTAGTACTACTCACTTCATTATGCGCAAACCATCTTGTCCTCTCCAAGTTCTCTAGCTCTTGCGTATCATAATCCATCCTCTGGTACCGCTGGAACTTCTCAGTCGAGCTTTCTGCACTGGGCGGAAGTGCTAGGAACATGTTTATATGGATCGCCAGCACCCTCTCTGGATGGCCCAATGCCATGTATCTCACAATAGACGAACCCCAGTCGCCACCCTAAACGGTCCCTTAGTCCAGTGGCGGTGAAACAGTTGAGAAACATCAGAGCTTACCTGACAAACAAACTTATCGTAACGTAGTGTCGCCATTAGTCGAGCAAAGCAATCGGCATATTGCTCCAAACCAAACCCGCTCTGCCGAGAAAAGTCGCTGAAACCATATCCGGGTAAAGATGGTGCAACGACGTGGAACGCCTGCTGTCCTTCTGGGGGGTCCGTGAGCAATGGTATGATCTTGAGTGCTTCCAGAAAGGACCCTGGCCTAATACATCCACATTAGCACGTTGAATGAAATCAAGGAGTATGCTACTATACCATCCATGAATAAACAGTAAAGGAATTGCATCCGCCCGTGACGATGGGTGATGCAGAAAATGAATGTCCAATGCCTCAAAACCAGGAACTTGTATCGCCGTCTTGTAATGATGAAACGTATTCAGGAAACCTTCGAATTTTCTCCAGTCATACTCATCCCGCCAGAATTCTACAAGGTGCTTGAACTCGGCATGCCCAGTCTCTAGGTCGTTCCATTCCACCTCACCCATGCGCTCATCGAGACGAGCGACCCTGAGCTTCGTTTCGACTTCCTCAAGGAGAGTCTCGGAAATATGGACCTTGAATATTTATCTGCTCAGTATGAGTCACCACGCCAGCCAAGAAATAACTTACAGTAAATGATCTGATATTTGCCATGTTGCGGTTTAGTTTCTGTTGTAAAAAGGAACTCTGGCGTCAACAGTATAAGATTCCAATATTTTGCGGTCGTCAAAACGTAATTACAAACGAAGGTTGGTTTATACGTCTTTGAACCCTTGAAATTAAGTATATACTCAGCCTAAATCTACGCTGATATCATAACCAGAGTTGGCCAAGTCGGCGTTCTCCACTTCGGAAAGGCATTACCCGCCAACCCCACCAAATGCGATTGATCCCCCGTGTATATTTATCACAAGACCTCAGTACTGACTCTAACATCCCTTGGACAGAAATTGTGAAATTCCATGTTGATTGATCACGAAAAAATGGAGTCGTACCTAAAAGGTCGCACGGCAGTTATTGTGAGTCCTCTGTTCCGCGTAGTTTCCCTCCTTTGCTAATGATGCTATCCTAAGACCGGCGCATCCATGGGCATCGGTGAAGCTATTGCTATGACCCTAGCAGAGAATGGAATGAATGTCGCCCTATTAGCAAGAAGCGGGGTATGTATCTCGATAACGTTGGTTCCACAGGAAAGTCTGACTCGGAATCAGCCGAAGCTAGAAGCCGTGAAGGCTCGAATCGAAAGCAAATGCCCCAATATCAAGGTTCGCGCCTACAGCGTTGACATCCAAAGCCATGCGGAGGTCAACGCGGCTGTGGAACTTATTGTATCCGCGTTAGGAGACATCGAGGTTTTGATCAACAATGTAAGCTTGCTTTCGGGATTCGAGATGAGGGATGTGAAAACTGACCCTCGCCAAAGGCTGGGCTCGCTCTTGGTGCACCAGGGAGATTCTGGGAACTACCGATTGAGATGATAGAGCAAATGAATGGCACGAATATTACGGGAGTGATGTACATGACTCACAGCGTTCTGAACCAGAGTATGTGGCCCAGAAAACGCGGCACTATCATAAACGTCTCGTCGGTTACCGGGCTTGAATGCCCTCCTTTTGATGGGGAAGCTGTATATCACGCAAATAAAGCCTGTCTTGAGGCATTTACCAACAGTTTGCGGATGGAAACAGCTGGATCCAACATTCGTGTCTCAGTCCTCCGACCAGGTTGCGTGGTCAGTCACTTTCATCTTCAGCGCGTTAAGTATGATCAGAACGCGATGGATGAGTTTTTCTACGGGTATGAACCCCTCGTACCGGAGGATCTGGCTGAGGCGGTATGGTATATGGTCAGCTGTCCTGAGAGAACTACGATCAAAGCGCTTGACTGTGTGCCAACCGCGCAGAGAGCCCTTACTCGCTTTGACCGGGAATGGAATGCACGGAACGACGGAGACAATCAAGCATAAAAGGCATGACAGTCGTTATGGTAGTTTACAAATATCGTAATGAGAATGAAATGAACAAGTCTCCTTCCATTATTATTGTTATTTTTATTGATTATTCATCAATTGGAGCAGTCCAGGGTTAAGGTATAAAGAATACACCTGGTCTAGAAGAAACAATGCCCTACTGGGTCTTCGGCCTGAAAAAAGTCCTTAGGCAACAGTTATAGCATGTTAGTAGATCACACGTACGGAATAAGTCAGTAATTATTCATGTCCTTTTTTGCCACCAACCAATATTTCTTTTCTTTGCGCGTTGACTATAGTCAGCCTCGACGAAGCTGATGACGTATCTAGTAAAGGAACGTGGGCTAGATAGTAGTTCATCAGACTGTCATTTATAATCAAGGGTACAATGATCTTCAACTGTAACTGAGCGGGCCCATTCTTGCTGCTGACAAACCACCCCGCTCAGGGCCCACAGTCTCAGGGTCGTCCATTTTCAGTCAATCCTGTCATGGACATCGACACAATACCTCATCATCTCGCTGCTCTGAAAATGCCAGCTACACAAAAGAGGCAGCGTGTCTCCATTGCTTGTGTACCATGTAGAAAGAAAAAACGTCGCGTGAGTCTGAAGACATATGATAGCTGGTTGCGACCCTGACCCCGAGTATAGTGTGATGGGCAGAAGCCCGTTTGCCAAGTCTGTGAAAGAGAAGATCGCGAATGTAGATACACATATCATCTTGAGAAGCGAAAGTTGGTGATACGGAAACTCTGGCTGAACTCATCGCTGAAAGGACCCTAGGCCTCCGACCAAGTGCTATATCCATGCACTCCACTCCAGGATTGCTTTCCTAGAACATCAACTCGCAGCAGCCCCCAATGGTGCAGAACAAGGTGAGTTCCTGGGCTTAGGCAGTGACGAGGAAATCTTGAATACGGCTAGTCTAGAGCCTGCATCACATCGCTTTTCGGGCTTCAGGCGAGAGTTCCGGATTTCGGGGGCGTACGGACTGTTCTACTCTAGGGAGCTTGGCGAACAACAGCAAAGCTCTAGCGGGGTGGGCATCTTGGAAAAGGTAGAGTCAGTATCAGAAGAGCTGTTTTTACTTTCTCCTGATGCACAAAGCCAGCTTTTAGACGACTTTTGGACCTGGAGAAATACTTGGCCAGTTCTAGTCCATGAGCCTCTGTTTCACAAAGATTTGACCAGCGGCGGAGTCAAAATCTATGCCACCCCAACCTTATCGGCAGCAATGCTAGCCTTCAGCTCCCAATATGCCAGTGATGCACAGCTCAGTGTCTGGAGAACATCAGGCGAGGCTCTTGCTAAACATGCAAAAAGCAAAATACTCGCGCAAATAGAATATCCCAGTCTGGACATTGTCCTGGCAGCAGCTATTATCGCTCTAAGAGAATTAGCAGTCGACAATCTGTCCTCTGCTTCGCAGTATATTGGTAAGCCTATATACTAACATCAGTATTTGAAGGCTCACACATCTTAGGGATTGCTTTTCGACATTCTCTGACTCTTGGACTTCATGTCGAAACACCTACAATAGATGGATCGATACAAGGCTCCCAAGAAGTTCTAGAAGCCCGGTCACTTGCATGGTGGGGTGTCTGGCTGCTGGAAAGGTCTGATTATCTCCAACGCTATGCCTGAACTCCAAGCTAATACTGCGATAGACACATATCCCAAATCCTTGGGCAGCCAAGTGCTCTACGCGACGGTGACATGCGTCCAGGACCAGTCCCAATCCTTCCCAGTGTCGAGTATCGCCTATGGTCGGTATCTGACAAGTCAGATCCAGAATTGGCATTCTCCAGTATGTCAAATCTTCAATATGCCTGTCAGCTAGTGCGCATGGTATCACCTGTTCTGGACGAAATGTAAGTGATCACTGCGAGAAATCGACAGTGCTCATGGATTTTCCCGGCCGGACTCAGAGAGGCCTTTTTCGTCGATTTTACTAACTACGCCTCAAGTCATGCACTGGAATCTCCTCTAAGCATACATAAAAAGGAAGAGAAAGCTACAAAGACTCATGTCGCCATGTCCGAATTCTACAATAACTTGCCGAGTCACCTCAGACTCCCTGCCACCGCTACGAAGCAACTGAGCCCACCTGTGTACCAATTCAAGTATACAATCCTAGGAGACCACAACGAGGGGTGATGAGGAGCTAATGTATGTCCAGCTTGCTATATCACAACTTGAAAATCATGCTTCATCGTCCTTTCATCAAAACAGCCCCGTCACTGCATGATTTGGAGGAATTGAAAGGCCCGGAAATGGTACATATCCAATCAGCAACTTTTTCAGCCATTCGCATAACATCCATCATTAATGCGTATAGAAACTTCTATCCATTGGTAAGTACCACTTAGAGAATCAACTCCACCGCCCTCTTTTGGTCTACGTTATACGAATATTGGCCCAGAATGAAATTCTATCTAGAATACTGAACTGTAATTAGGAAAATCTTTCCCCATTCGCCGTCCATAGCTTGGCAACTTCATCTCTCGTGCATCTTTTGAATGCTGACTCGGCTGATGCCACTCTGTCGCAACGGACAACGCACCTTTACCGTCTCAACATCCGCTTCCTGGGCCAAATGAGCTCAACGAACTATGGCAGCAATCGCGCAATAGAGGCTCTTACATCCTTAGAATGTGAGGGGGATGCATCGATCCAGCCGAATGCCACGAAACCATCCGTGCGTGACCGCGGAGCAGATGGTAATAGTTTTGTTTCCGCGGGACCAAGAGGAGCGCCAACCACAGCACTAGAATCGATGAACATTTTCGGCCACATAGATTCCATGGAGAATGCTTTCGATTGGTTTCAGTTGCCTCTGAACGAACAACTGGTTTTTGATGATGTCATTGAGAGCACTTTGTGGGAGAACGTATGCGAAAGCCATGACCCCATGGGCGGCCTACCGCCTCTCCACGGAAGTCTATAGGTGGTGCATCGGTCAAAATATTATGGTCGTGCCTTATCTACTGGGGTAACCTCCTGCAAGTGGAGATTGGGAGAGAATGGCTTGGCTTTGTTGATTCGGAAAGCAAAAGCCCGTTTCCCCGGAGCGTAATCAACATACTCCGTTGAATTTTCACCCAACTCGTGCAGGTCTACAAGCGGTCTGGCCCTCACGACTTAGGAGATCTTGTCAATCTGTTCTGCAATGTCGACCGAGTACCCTAATCGATCACGCGCCGGTCTTAGCACAAGGCTAGACCAGTCTGTAATCCCATGATGGATTCTTACCCATTCAACCATCGCTAGATATTACAAAGGGGTTGTTTCGGCCTGTCTAGATTATGGGATCGATATGACAAGTGGGCAGTGGGCGTGTCATGGGGTGTCCGTACAGAGCGGCATCCGAGTCACGATAAGAGGGGTGGGAAGAAGTGGGTTTGGATTGCGATCTAGATCAACCTCTAAAAGACAATTATTAGCACCCGGCATTTGACTTTTCGCAAGGCTGGCTGAAGTTCAGATTGCGGGTCCGGCATACTCTAACCGATCTCCCGTCTGTGGGGCGTTAGGGACCAAAGATTTCTGTTTAATCTGGCTTTTGAAGGGCAAAAATTTTTATTTCACCTTCATGTTGAGGCTAGTATGGACCAGATGGTGCGGCTGATCGGAAGACAGCGTGGGGAATCAGTAAGGGGCGAGTTTTGTAGAGTCAAGCAGAATGTACAATGTAGGTAGATATGGAGCGAGATGGCAGATGGATGGATCATAGTTTGGGGTTGGCCCTTCCGAATGGGGAATGTTTCGGCGCCCCCGGGTACGGGGGGCAACACTTGCCGACTGCGCAAGGGCGTGGTCCTTTCCTTTCATTTGCTCTCCATCTTCATTCCTTTCTCATTCCTTTCCCTGCATGCCTGCAGACACAGCCAGGTTACATTCCAGGAATGTAACGTCTTGTTCACCTCATGCAAGCAAGGCCAATTAAATTGATGAATGACACATGTTCCACGGATAACCACGAGGGATCAATCCGGTACCCCGAATCAACAATGCTTTGATGCCTGGCTAGTTATCGTGAGAATGCCCGGCCGACAGTATGGACCTCTACATGGTCGAGCTACACTAGGATACCTCAGTCCCTCTGCGTTCGCCTCACCCTAGGCTATACTTCCGTCGGCGTTCGTGATACCATTTTCCGTTAAAATGAACGCTTGGCACTCTTTGTTGGCTTTTCGATTCATCCTTCCTGTCATCTCCGTGGGCGAATGATTGGACGACCTGTACGCCATCACTAAGATTAGGTTACATTCCGTAAGAAAACTGTTGCAGCAGCCCTGCCGATGCCGGCCCGACACGTTTTCGGCTCGGTCAACACCTTGGCAATCCCGGCATGGTGGTTATTGTGCTACCAGATGCATCACGTTATGAATGTAGTGGTAACGCCAAGAAGATGCCAGAAAGGCAGAGTCATTGACCTGTCAGAGGACATCGTGAATACATACTTGAACGCGATTGGCTGCCGACACCCTTTATCGCAGGCTACATGTTGTCTTGCTGTTCGGTTGTCAATGACACTCGCTCGGTCTCGTTTCCGGAAGCCACGCGACGACGGAAATGCGCTGTTACCGGTCCCCATCCTCAGAAGCAAGGGATATGAAGCAATGGCTAGGAAGTACCCTACACAATGTCGACGGTAAGGAGTCTTGAGTGTAGGTTGTCTAGAAGTAGCCCCCCCAGGAATGTGGCGGTGCACGATTTCGAACGGGCAATGTTCTAGAGCAAATGATGCCATTTGCTCGCCCCATGAAGTGATACTAATCTACTTACACCAGGCATTACCATTCTCAACGTTGAACATGCCCATCTAGTTCAATCATAGCAGGTTCATGTCAGGCGATAGGTCGCTTTGCCTGTCCATGGATGGCCATGCTGCAGGGTTACATGCAGTAAGAACGTGGATATCCCCATGCAAACCGGATTTGTCAAGGGTTTTGCCTCTGGAATGGCGTCATGGTTGGTGGTTGAAGATGGGATGGACCAAACGACGTCTACGGTTTGGGATGCGGTCGGTGGCCGGACTACCGCTTTGGGTACCCCGACAAGCGCTCGAGCCGCTGATTGGCGCGACAACCCAACGTCTCTATCAAAGGTATTCGATGGCTTGGGTACTGAAAATCTCACGGGGTAATGCCGACGATGATGGTGTGTAACTCGAGCTCATTTGTCATAGAAATTGTCAAATTCTTGCTTTCTTTTTTCAAGGGCGAGACTTTGCAGGCGTTGGGTACAAGGCGCAGTGCATTGTGTCACTTGAGTGTGCCATGTGCGGCTAGCCCTCATCAACGCAGGAATGGTGGAGAGAAGCAATGAAAGTTAATCCAGAGTGTTCCAGGCATTTTCATTGAGTCCCGGCCGTGGCCCCACGGCGATCGATCGATATCGGAGCTGCACCCTCCCTACGCCTAGTGCTACACGCTACAATCGTTTCCTCGGATACTCCGACGTTCATGACGTCGTGCCACCATTGCTTTTCCTAGAGCGGTGCAGTCGGCCACCTTCAACTCCGATGTTGGGCCTGCAGGGCTGAAGTATGTGATTCTACTATATAAGACGCTCGCCTTGTTCCTGTTATGGCCTTCTCCATCCATAACAAACCCACCCACCTTCCAGTTCCTTGTTCTTGCCCGGCGCTCTCTATTACTGGTACAGGACTATAACCTCGCCCGACCTTTATTTGGCCTTGCTGTCTTGGCCAGTTCCTTGTTCGAGATATATTCCATGAATCCCACAACGGCAGTGTTTCTTTGGATCACCTAAGAAACAATTTTCTCATCATGGATACAAAGGAGCTATTAGAGAAGCCTTCAGGAAAGGATGGGGCTTTCAGTCCTACGCGCCAACCTGGGAATATGCATGCAGAGCATGCCACCCAGCCAGATGATGATAGTGAAATTCAAGGGAAGTTTCACGGCCCCGTGAAACGAGAACTTACCGAAGACGACTGCTACGAGAAGCTGGGCTTCTGTTTCCCATGGTACAAAAAATGGACAATCCTTACGGTCATCTTCGTCGTGCAAATGTCGATGAACTTCAACAGCAGCACTTACTCCAACGCCGTCCCGCAACTCTCCGAACACTTTAATATCAGTGAACAGGCCGCCCGAGTAGGCCAAATGATCTTTTTAGTCACATATGCTTTTGGCTGTGAACTGTGGGCCCCATGGAGTGAGGAGTATGGCCGGTGGCCGATAATGCAGCTCAGTCTACTGTTCGTGAATATCTGGCAGATACCGTGTGCTCTTGCTCCTAACTTCGCAACGATGGTTGTCTGTCGTGGCCTTGGTGGTATTAGCTCTGCAGGCGGCTCTGTGACTCTTGGGATGACGGCTGACATGTGGGAGCCGGATGATCAGGGCTTTGCTGTCGCTTATGTGGTCTTGTCCTCTGTGGGAGGCACCACCATTGGACCGATATTTGGCGGAATGATGCAGCAGTGGTTGAACTGGCGGTGGAACTTCTGGATCCAGCTTATCTTTGGCGGTGCTACTCAGCTCCTGCACTTTTTCCTTGTCTGTGAAACTCGATCGACGATTCTTCTTGACCGAGAGGCTAAACACCGACGACAAACCGGCGAGGATCCTAATGTGTATGGACCGAACGAGCTGAAGCCCTCACGACTCAACATCAAGGAGGTCCTACACGTTTGGCGCCGACCCTTCGAAATGTTCCTCTGTGAACCTATTGTGCTCTTTCTATCTTTGCTCTCCGGTTTCTCCGATGCGCTCATCTTCACCTGCATTGAGTCGTTCTCTTTAGTCTTCGCACAATGGGGGTTCAATGCCGTCCAAATCGGTCTGTGCTTCGTTGCCATTGTGATCGGCTACTTGTTTGCCTACGGTATTTTCCTACCCGACATCTACCGTCAACGCCTGGTCCGACGCCGGGAGGGAAATGCCTCTCGGTACGCTGAGCGACGCCTTCTACTTTTGCTCTTCATTGCGCCTCTTGAAACGATTGGACTGTTTGGATTCGCCTGGACCTCTATGGGCCCCGAGTACACCCACTGGATCGTACCGTTAGTATTTGTGTTCCTGATAGCTATTGCTAATTACGGCATCTACATGGCTACCATCGACTACATGGTTGCCGCGTATGGAGAATACTCTGCGTCTGCGACGGGAGGCAACGGGTTTGCACGAGATCTGCTCGCCGGACTCTCAGCCATGTACGCAACACCCATGTACACCAATATCGGTGGCCGATTCCATCTACAATGGGCGAGCACCATTCTTGGCTGCTTGTCCGTCCTGGTTACAGTCCCCATTTACATTTTCTATTGGAAGGGACCTGAGATCCGGGCCCGAAGCAAGTTCGCCCAGACTTTAGAAGCGGACCGGCAACGGCACGCAGCCGTCCGTCGGTCCAGTCAGGTCACCATCTCGCGCAAGACATCCATGGCCTAAGCGCCTGGCTTGCGGTAAAGGCATATGAGGGTGCAGTTTGTCGGAGTTTCCTTTTTTGGCTGGTCCGAATGACGCCATGATTGACGTTTAAGATCCGCGTGTATGCATAGATACCCGTTTTGCTTTTTTTTTTTTCCGCTCGATGTGCTGTCCTACCAGGGCGTCGGGCCACGTGTACTTCAATGTATGTGGAATAAAACAAGGTTCACTTATCTGCAAAGTCCTGTCGATCTTTCGGGTGTAGTTCTGCCGGTGTTGGTATGCTTAGTGCTTATTAAGACCCATTGCCATGGTATAATCGAATTATTCAGGATGTATTAATATCCCTCGCCTAGAACCCCCCACATGTAAAAGCAGTGAAGATGTAAATGGATCACGTATTGTAAAATGCGGTATGATAAGGGGGGAATGGGTAGACAGGCCTGGATGTATGTACGAAAGGACAAGGATTCATCAGTCGATTCCGCGGTTGTCCGTATCCTAGGTCAGCCGAAGAGCTGTCCCTCCTTCGGTGGTTAGACAGCTTTCCAAGGGATACTCGGGGAAGGTACTAATTCAACATATGGTCATTTGCGTATTTATGCCGTTCGTGAAGTGCGAGACCTCCAAGTCTGAACAGGACTGTAGTGGGTTCATATGTTTTGCTCTTGTGTAGTGCAAAGGAGTACTCCTATTTGCAAAGGACATCAGGTGAGGTTCTGTCATCTGCCATTTGATATATGACATTATGGTTATACAGGGACCTGGATCTTGGGCATCAGACACTTTCAGCTATACTTGGATATTAAGTTGGAATTTAGAATCACTAACTATGTTTGCACACACCACAGCAGGGAACTGAGAGATGGCATTATCACCTATCGGATTCGTTATTGCAGTATTTATACTGGCCATTTCTATCACACTGAAGATGTGATTCAAAGCGGAGGGATGTAACATCAGGGTGATCATGACCCATTTTAGCATACTGGTAGCGTAGTGGTGAGCTGAAAGATGCCGTCTTTGTGAACAGGCGGCCCATGCGTAGATGGTATGGGCCAATCACACTTAACATCACATTGCCCCTTGGACATGAAGAAGATACCCCTACAACCTCTTCACATCGATCTACATGATTCCTAAATCTGCGAATATCTGCGATCGTATATAGAGCCGATGCTGGAATATGTCTATAAATACGGCAATATTCACCCCATGTCCCTCAATGAAGTACCGCACACACCATTTCCTTTTCTTTTATGACAATCAATCAAACAATCGCTACAGACATATAAACTTAGTGTCTTATTAAAGTCCAATTACCATGCAATGGCACACAGGTTACGGCAATAGAACCATGGGCAAGTGGGCGATTCTCACCAACCATGAGCGTCTGTACTGGTTCTATGGCGATGGGGGAAGTGCGGATGGCTACGGAGAGAGACACTACATGCGTCTCGGTTATTTGAGATACATTTCGACATGGTCTCGCGATTGGCATGTGTACCATGAAAAATGGGATCAGGTAGGTCTCACTTCATCTTGTGTCAGTGTGATTGAGCTAACTGATGTGGGCCTTCCCCTCTCATACCATGACGAATGGAAACAGCTGGATGTTCTCCGAAGATGATATCAAGGCGTACGGAGATATCATCGAACAGAATGCTGGAGGCGCTTATTTTGCACCGAACCTTACTATCATCCTGGCGCACCTTGGCGGCCACGTCGGCCTTGAATAACAGAATGTGACAAGGACATAAACGTTTCAGGGTGGTAGATTATGCAGGAGTGCAGGGAGAATTGCGGTGAGAGTTCTAGAGTGTCTTTTCTTTTTGTTTCGACTCCTCTTTCTGTTGCCCATGGCTTTCCGGTTAGGTCATGGTAGGACTGCTTATCTGAGAACAGTTAGGGTAGACCTCAGGATATACATAGTTGCATTGGCAGACCCTGAGTTGAACATGACACTCTAGTCCAGATCATTCCTTACAGCTAAGGTATGTCAAGGCATCCAACTAAGTAGTAATCGTCATATTGTGAAGTGTCTTAGAACTAAACTAAGTGCGGGAATATATTTTGTGGGATGAATGAATCCTCAGAGGTGCCGAGTACAACGATACTATATATATCTTGCCGTTATGGCTGCAGAGATGGTACCGACGCATTTACGTAACAATAGACAGCGCTCGATGTAAATACTGGACTCTGCAATCTATCTTCATCCTATCGTTCCGAACCAGCGAAGGCGAAGATCATCATCTCTCGGCTGCAGGAGACAACAACTACGGGAGGGAGGGTTCCGCAGCCAACCGCAGTGCGGAAGGACATTCCGAAATGCCGCACTGGGGCCATGAGTGGAAAGCCAATGTCGGGCCGCCGATTGCCAAAGATTGGAGCGGTAGTGCGGGGAAAGTGAAAGGTAAAGTGCGCCCAGACTATCAGACTGGACCAGCCAAAGCTTGGACATGTTGCTCGGCCGGAAATGGAGCCGTAGGAATGACGGCGGGTGGCTGTCCTCCAGATATCGTATCCACCATCACCAGCCGAGGACAGCTGCATTGCGGTCAGCATACTTATAAAGGGTTCGCATCGCTCGCATTCTTCCCTGAAACTGAAGAATCCATATCACATCGTCTACACCACAATCATGGCTATCCAGACGATTCTTATCGCCGCTGCGGCGGTGGTCTACTTCCTGGTGCGCTACATGAACCGCACCGATGTGCCCAAGATTAAGGGCATCCCCGAAATCCCCGGTGTGCCCCTCTTTGGCAATCTCCTCCAGCTGGGCACTCAACATGCCATCGTCGCCCGGAAATGGGCCAAGTCATTTGGCCCTGTGTTCCAAGTCCGCATGGGTAACAAGGTAAGTGAAATATGCGATCGGAGATTTGAATGATTTAAACGGTTCCTGTTCCTGACCCGCCCTTTCTTTGCTTCTTTCCAGCGCGTCGTCTTCGCCAACAGCTTCGACTCTGTCCGCCAGCTCTGGATCAAAGACCAGTCTGCCCTGATCTCCCGTCCCACCTTCCACACCTTCCACAGCGTCGTATCTTCTTCTCAGGGCTTCACCATCGGTACCTCGCCCTGGGATGAATCCTGCAAGCGTCGTCGCAAGGCGGCCGCCACCGCGCTGAACCGCCCCGCCGTGCAATCCTACATGCCCATCATCGACCTCGAATGTACCGCCAGTATCAAGGAATTGTTCAAGGACAGTCAGAACGGTGCCCGCGATATCAACCCCAAGGCCTACTTCCAGCGCTTCGCTCTCAACACCAGTCTTACTCTCAACTACGGATTCCGTATCGAAGGGAATGTCAACGATGAGCTGCTGCATGAGATTGTTAATGTCGAGCGTGGTGTCGCCAACTTCCGCAGTACCAGCAACAACTGGCAGGACTACATCCCTCTGCTTCGTATCTTCCCCAAGCAGAACCGTGAGGCACAGGAGTTCCGCGAGCGCCGCGACAAGTATCTGAGCTATTTGCTAGAGATTCTCAAGGACCGTATTGCCAAGGGCACTGACAAGCCATGCATCACCGGTAACATTCTGAAGGACCCTGAGGCCAAGCTGAATGAAGGTGAATAGTCCCACTGTTTCCCCCCGACTAGAGTATCTGTTAACACCTAACAGCCGAGATCAAATCCATCTGCGTCACCATGGTCTCTGCCGGACTGGACACTGTCCCTGGAAACCTGGTCATGGGCATCGCTTATCTGGCATCCGAGGACGGCCAGCGGATCCAGCAAAAGGCTTACGATGAAATCATGAAGGTCTACCCCAATGGAGATGCGTGGGAGAAATGTCTGGTGGAGGAGAAGGTGCCCTACGTGAGCGCGCTGGTCCGCGAGACTCTCCGCTTCTGGACGGTCATTCCCATCTGCCTGCCCCGTGAGAGCACCAAGGATATCGAGTACAACGGCGCGACTATTCCTGCCGGAACGACCTTCTTCATGGTGAGTTTGGACACTACCTTCCCCTATCACTACGCGATTGCTAACCCCATCAGAACGCCTGGGCCGCCGACTACGACGAGGACCACTTCAAGATGCCGGAAAAGTTCATTCCCGAGCGCTATTTGGATATCGGTGAGGGTTCGGGCACGCCGCACTATGGCTACGGCGCTGGTTCGCGCATGTGTGCCGGCTCTCATCTGGCCAACCGCGAGCTCTTCACGGCTTACATTCGGTTGATCACCGCATTCACCATGCACCCGTCCCGCGATCTGGCGGATCGGCCTATCCTGGATGCACTGGAGTGCAATGAGATCCCTACGGGATTGACGACGGAGCCCAAGCCATTCAAGGTGGGCTTTAAGCCGAGGGATCCGGTGAAGCTGCAGCAGTGGATTGTGGAAAGCGATGAGCGGACCAAAGATTTGTAAAGGGTTCCCTAGTTGACGATTTTTTTTTATGATTCTGGATGTATATATACATAGTAGAATGCTGCCTTGACCTGTGACCTATCTTTTCTCTCTATCTATCGATTTATCTACAAACTTTCTCCGTGGCATTAGAATCCCACCTGCAAGGGGTGACACGGTGCAACTCTGTTACGAAGGACACGTAGCGAGCAAAGCAACCCATCGAACCCACCTTCAGCCGAGGAACTGCATCATGTCCCACTGTAGCCTGTCAGCCATCATCTCCATTGACGAATAACAACCCGAGAGATTCTCGTACTAAAGCAATGGCTGCGAACTAGACTGCGGAACCCCGCCGTGGTGGCCGATCGGCGCTCCTTCACCGCCGCCCATCCAATGATGCATCGCTGGATTCGCTGCTTCTCAGCATCGTTCCTCCATCTTTTCGACTCTGCATTCTTGCTTCCCTTCCAAGACAGTCTCGTCGTTGTCCTCTGGATACCTACCCACCAGGGCACTGCCGCAACATGGACAGCCATCCCCTCGAGTCGTGGGAGCGACCGCCAGACGACGATCTCGGCGATCGGGACGAGGCCCGACCGCGCAAACGCCGTCGCAAATACATCGCCAAAGCTTGGTACTGCTGCTCCCCCTTAGCTACTCGAAAGCATCCATCGATCGCATCTAACCTACTCTCTAGTAATGAATGCAAGCGTCGCAAAATCAAATGTAATGGGCAGTCCCCTTGTCAGCGATGTGGTCGCCAGCGCATCGACTGTGTGTACGAGTCGCCGCCGCGAACAGAGAGCAGCGGAGAGAACCAGTACGATAATCCTCTCTTTTGAAGATGTAGCACCAAGCAACACGATTAACATGAACCAGTGAAACTCTCGACCGTCTCCTGACTCAAATGACAGCTATGCAAGAGCAAATCACCTCTCTCACCACAGCCGTGCACGCCTTGACGCAAAATACCCTCGTCTCAACAGCAACAGCACTGCCGCGGTCGGACGTAGCATCTCAGCGACCCTTCCGGCGGCACTCCTCCATCAAGGAGAAAGAATCTGTCTTTCAAGGCCCAACCACCTCCGCGTACAGTCTGGACCTAGCGAAATCCAGCCTCCAGCGTCGCGGAATCGTCGAAGAACATCCCGATGTCGCGGATGCTGAAGACGGCGATGTTGATGGCGACGAGGGCGATACGGCCCCTTCTCAGATGATCCCCATGGCTGTGGCTGCGTCGCCGCCACACACGCGCCATCATCCGTCCGGTGATCCACTGTGGACCATCGGGAAAAGTGAAGCGTTGCGGCTGTGTCGCGTGTATGAGGAAGAAATGGGAGTTATGTATCCTGTGCTAGACTTATCGCAGCTCCTGCATCAGGTGGAGTTGTTGTACGGGACAGAGTCGTGGCCCCGGGTACCCGTTGTCCAGGGCAACGAAGAGCAGTTGGATAGCACCGCTGTGCATATACTGCGCCTGGTGTTTGCTTGTGCGCTTACGGCCGAGGCAGCGGGAAGCAGTGCCCTGGCGCTGAGCTTGTTCGAGAGTGTCCGAGAAGTGGCGGATAACTTTGTCTGGGGAGTAGCGGGGATCAAGAACATCATCTTCTTGACGTTGGTGGTGAGTACACCCATGCCCTATATTCAGAAATATGTCTGAATAGTTGTAGGCCATCTTCTACTTCCAAATCGACGAAGAAACCCTCGCCTGGCGCACCATCGGTATCGTTGAGCGCATGTGTCTCGAACGAGGCCTTCACCGCCGCGAAACCCTCAGCCAGCCATCCATAGCCAAGGCAGGCAAAGACCGCGTCCTCCGACTCTTCTGGTCGATTTACATTCTCGACATCCGCTGGAGCTTCGGCACCGGCATGCCCTTCTCCCTTGAGGACAGCGACATTGACCCGTGGCTACCTGAGCCGGAGGAAAAAACGCCCTACCTGCGTGTCATGATTCGGTATAGTCGAATTGCGGCGAAAGTGTGGAAGTTCATTTCGGCCTTCAACAACACCAATGAGATCAAGAAGGAGGAGATGAATTACCTCGATTGGCAAGTCCAGCGATGGACGGCAGACATCCCGCCCGTGTTGAGCATTAACTCGGGTAACGTCCACGAGGAGCCACGGAGCTTGCGTCGCTTGCGGTCTCTGCTGTGTTTGAGGGCGAATCAACTGCGCATGCTGATCCATCGACCTGTGCTGCACTCAGCGGCACATATCGCCAAGTATCCTGCAGAGTCACAGACCGTGGTAGAGTTGGCCAAGGAGTCGATCCGATTCATCACCAATCTGAACGAGACGACGGACATCTATCGCTTGCAGCAGGTGACCTTTAACTGGTTTCTGGTGTCTGCTGTCGCGGTGGTCTTTCTGGCTGTTACGCAGGCTCCTACCCACTTTAGTACCACTTGCAAGGAAGAGTTTTACATGGCCCTGGAGCTGATCAAAGGCTTCTCGACGAGGTCGTATATTTCGCAGCGGCTGTGGAAGTCGATTCGAAGCTTAAGGAAGCTGGGTCCACAGCTCATGCATCGGCCGGTGCAGAGTCAACCAGAGCCCGAGTGGAGAGGAGGCGCTGCAGTGCCAGCGGAGAGAGGGGACCTTGGCAACGTGGTGGAGGTCGCACCGAGCCAGTCAACAGGCACGCAGGAGCAGTCACCGCTGGACGGGGCGCAGATGACGCGCGAGCTAATGGAGTGGTTCGAAGCGGTGGGGAATCTCGAGACGCAGATTATGGGCATGGCGCCCGAGGGATTTGATGCCGGGTGGCAGCGGTACGATTATGGGGAGGAGTTGTCAAGTGTGATGAAGGATTGTTTTTAAATCCATCTTTTAATGTAAAGCATTGTTCTAGTATCCACGACGCTATTCGCTTCATAACGGGTCTTTCTATAGTGTATGTCTAGTACCATCAGATCTTTGCTCGGAAAGCCGCGATCCCCTCCTTCAACCTCTCCAGATCCTCCACCACCCAATCCGTAACCAGCATATGTCCCGGCTCATGCGCAAACACCAACCCATCAATCTTCTCCCCGGCCGCCTCGACCGCCATCTGTGGCGTCACTCCACACGCCTAACCATGATCCCGCATTAGCATACTCCACATACACTTCATCAAAACGCAAGGGGGTAAACAAAAAGAAGAATGAGAAAGTATATCTTGCATACCCAAAAGACAGGCACCTCCCCCTCCCCAAACTCAACCTTATCCCCAAAATCCGGATCATGAATATCCCGAATGCCCAAGCGCTTCACCGCATCCCAGCCCCAAGCAATCGGCTCCCCGTGCGTGGCCAAATACGGGCGCGTGATGTCCCGCACCCGCTCGACCTCTGATTCGTGGTATGGGCGCATCGACACGGTACATGTTGTGTTGGTGAAGATCCCTGCAGGCGAGAGAGGCAGAGAGGTGCGATACATTGGCACGAGGATGTTGGTTACTTGGTGTCGTGGGGTTAGAGGCGGGGTGGCATTGCAGAGAGCCGCTTCGAAGCTGTAGGAGCAGCCTAGGAGGAAGGCTGTGTAGTTCTCTGAACTCTGTTGTTCGTCATCATTCGTAGACCATAGGTCCAGAAGATCACGTTTGTTGGCCGCGATGCATTTCCCGTGCTTGTACACTCGGTATGCAGGACAGTCGGTGCGGATGTCAAAGTCGCTGTTACGGATGCATGGCGTTGGGGAGATTTTGTGGGGGTTTCCCGGGATGCTGCTGATTCCTAAAAGTGGGCAGGCTACGGGGTTGCGGAGGCAGAGGTTATGGAAGTCCTGGCTGTATTTCTCGGGCAGAATGAGGAGGTTGGCTTGCAGGTTGGTCCCGGAGTAGCCGGCTGTGTTGGTGATGGTATTTTGGCGGGCCAGAAGCCGGGTTTTCTGGCTGCTTAGGGTTTCCGGTGTTTGGGTAGTGACGGTCATTTGGATTGCTGCATGAATTCTTGTCATATGTACCTACCGTGCAGTAACTTCGACATTGAGTTAGCATATATAATCAATAACCTCTCGACCGATAGACCTGATAGCCTATCAATTGTTTTGTATCTACCCCATACTCGTGTCTCTATCGGCAGGTGGGCTCCGATATCCGGGGATAAACGTGTTGGTGCTCCACCAGCGTGATAAGGGTTGGTCGCTTTAGTCCGCGATTTCACCAATGAGCGTATGCCAGATGATATCCTCCCGGACAATCTTAACTTTGCTTATCAGTCCATCGGCCCGATGGGTGACCCTGTGGAGCGTAATGCTACTCGCCCCTCACGATAGATAGCTTCCCGGTTTAATGGCCGTGTTATCGATCCGTTGCCGCCTTCAGGTGCTACCCTGAAGGGTCTGGTCCATGGTTCTTAACCCCAGATCTTCCGCGTTTGACGCTTTCTTCATCTTCCCTCTTCCCCCACTTTCTTCTGGGTTTCACAGCTCACTTCATCCATCATAACTACCGATCAGATGGACCGTGTTGTTGAGCGTAAATCGCTCGAGAAACCATTCGAGCAGGCGCCTCCTGAAGAGACGGCCATTGGCGATATTGACGATGTCGTGCTCGATCCAGCGAAGGAGAAGAAGCTTCTCATAAAGCTCGATATGGCTTTTGTGCCCATCATCATGTTGACCTATCTGTCGTGTTTCCTTGACCGCAGTAATATCGGTGAATAACCCCCCAATGCATATTCCCCACGTTGGTGCAGCTTGCTAATGATCATCCAGGTAATGTGAAGGTAGCTGGCATGCCTGAAGACATCCACGCCTCCGACAGTGAGTATTCCACTGCCGTGTCTATCTTCTATGCCACCTACGTGCTCTTGGAAGCACCGTGGGCGGTAGCAATGAAGAAGCTCACGCCACGGAATATCCTGACCGGTCTATGTATCATCTGGTCTATCACTACCGTGTTCACGGGGTTCATTCACAATGTTGCCTCGCTCTACGCAACGCGATTGATCCTCGGAGGCTGCGAAGCCGGTCTCTTCCCCTGTCTGAACCTGTACTTGACCATGGTGTACCGTCGAGAGGAACAGGCAAAGCGCGTCTCGTACCTAATGAGCTGTGCTGCCATCTCCGGTGCCGTGGGTGGTCTCCTCGCCTATGCATTGCTGCACATGGACGGTATAGGCGGCAAAGCCGGCTGGAGGTAAACCCAACTCCCCTTCCTCATCATTCCCAGCCATCCCATGCCCGATGCTAATGAGAGAATCAGATGGGTCTACATCATCGAAGGAATCTTCAGTCTAGTCTGCGCCGTCCTAATCTGGTTCGGTCTCCCCAACGACCCCAGCAACGCCTACTTCCTCACCGACGAAGAGAAGTACATGATGCGCGTGCGCAACGAACAACGCCGGAAGTACATGGGCAGTGAGCACTTCAGCTGGGAGGAGATGCGCATAGCTCTGCGTGATCCCAAGCTCATGTTCTCGGCCCTCACCCAGTTCTGTCAGGACATTCTTCTCTATGGGTTTAGTACCTTCCTCCCGACTATCTTGGGGAGTCTGGGGTATAATAGTCTGATGAGTAATGTGCTCACGGTGCCGGTGTATATCTGGGCTGCGATTGTGTTCATCGCTGTTGCGTTTTGTGCGGATCGCTTTGGGAGGTTTTCAATCGTATGTATCTTCTTTCCCGCTTACCATCAGTTTACTAGGGAGTAAGGAGTGTGCTGACATGAGGGACAGTTCATCCTAGTCACCAACATTTTCGGCATCGTCGGCTACATTCTCCTCCTGACCGTCTCCAGCGATCCCGTAAAATACTTCGCGACTTATCTCTGCGGTGTGGCTGTCTACACCGGCGTCGGACTGAACGTCGCCTGGTTGAACGTCAACGTGGCGCCGCAGTACCGGCGTGCACTTGCCATCGGCCTGCAGCAGACGGTGGGCAATTGTGCCGGTATCGTAGCGGGGCAGGTATACCGCACATCGCCATATGTATTGGGAAATGCGTTCTCGTTGGGGGCGTTGGTGGTATCGCAGATAATTGTCGCGCTTCATGCAATGTACCTGAGACGCGAGAATAAGATGAAAGAGGACATACTGGCCGGTGAGAAGGAAGACACGCGACGAGTGAAGACAGGTGATGGCGAGGTGGAGTTCAGATACCATACTTAATATCTCTATTTATATAATCAAAAATTTATTGCTCGTTCCAAGTACTTGGTGCTGTTACAGTCCAACAAGAAACATCAGCCATGTCATCCTAATTGACAAGCGACCCCACAACCTCATCGAAATTCTCCTTCTCAAGCCCCAATCTCTCATTCCACGATCCCCCGGGCACCCGTGACCAGTCTCCATACGGCCCATCCGGGAATCTCGCCAACCCAGCCGCCAAGAGTAAAACTCTCACGGCAGTAAAGTCCCCACCCTTGAGCTGCTGGGTACTTTCTTCGATAACCGGCTTCAGGGCAACATCAGTGACCTTCCAGTCCTTGCCGGTGGCTTTTTCCAGAGCACCGAGAATCTGCTTCTGAGTGATGGTGAATGACTCGACGTAGACGTATTGGTTCTGGGTAACCTCCGGGTTCTGCAAAACAGCAACGAGAGCACGGCCGATTTGAGCGAGGGTGGTCACGGAGGCCGGGTTGGTGCCGTCGTCGTAGATGGTTGCTTCGTGGGATTGGAGGTTGAAGCCTAGAAAGCCGTTTTTGACACCCTGTTGTGGTACCTCCTTAGCATTCCTTCATGAATGGGACGTAGCAACTGATAGGTACTATATGTGTGTGTTGTAGATCTACTTACCGCATCGAAAAAGGGTCCCGTGATGAGCGCAGTCCAAGTTAGCCGATCCTGTCTCTCCTTGAGATAATCGACGTTGGCTTTCTTGCCATCGAGAAGCGGTGCGAGAGCCCGGACGCGGTCGTCGGCGGTGTTGTTGCCGAATTCACTGGGGATAAATCGTTTCACTCCTGCATCGACGGCAGCGTCGATGAGTTTCTGCTGGAATGAAAGACCTGCATTGCCTACGATACTGATCACAGCATCTTGGCCCTTGAACGCAGAGACGAGCGAGTAGTGGCTGTAGTCTGATTTGATGACTTGAAGGCCGTCGGGGAAGGTGCTGGTAGATGACTCTCTAGTGAGTGCGGTGATGTTGAAGGCTTTGGATGAGAGGAAGGCTTTTAGGACATGAGAGCCGAGGTTACCTCCGGCCTGAGAGAGATCGTACGTTAATGTTGAAGGATAAGGAGGAATTGAGCTGGATCACTTACTCCAACGATTACCACGTTCTTTAGCGGGGAGGCCATCTTGCTGGTATAACTATCGGGCTTTGTAGTGCTTTGTATGGTGGGTAGTATCGAAGTCTCTTGCTGAAAGTTTTCCAGTTGCTGTACTCTTCTGCAGATATTATAAGGATGTGACAGTCTTCATCCAGCACTTATATACATAATCTTGCTCATTAGGATTGGTAATCACGTAAGTGATGCCTTCTGGAAAGTGTTTCCTAAATATGCTTAGCCATAGGTACCTGGATATCACGCCATCTCCATCATGCCGGAATTGACTCCGGTTTACAAATCGGCAGTCGATTGACATGTATAGTTCCGAGAGTCGAGTACCTTCTGTTCCGGATCGTCTGACGCTAAACCATTTCCGGCGCAAAAGTGCGATTGGTCGAAAAGGGGGCAGAATGACACAACTCAAGTGCCGTGGTGGATTACGACTGCCAATTAACACATAAGGCACAATGCACAAAGACAGATGCCATCATTCATAAGCGTTTACCTAAGCCAGAAACACAACGTACCGCATCAAGCATTGTGCATGTCCATTGCCACTGAAACTCATTCTTGGCAGTTTGTCAGTACCATTGCAATTCTTAAGCACCTAAGCTCAGGAGTGGCCAGCTGCAAGCATCCTGTAACGGACACTGGCGCGCCTGTTCATCCTTCCTTCTGCGTGCGTGAAGCCCTCATGGCTGTAATGGGGCAAAATGAAACGCCAAGAGCTGGCTCAATCAAGAAGAGCAGTCAAATCTCGAGGTACGTAGTCCTAATGACACCCTAAATATACAAGCCACTAACATAAATTAAAGCGGGGTGCGCACGGTGTAAGCAGCGTGTAAGCTAGATAGGCGGCGATTCTCATGTCAACGTCAGAACACTAAATATCACAGCGAATCAAATGTGACGAAACTAAGCCTTCTTGCGTGGCTTGTTCTCGGAGAGGATACGACTGCCCGGGGTATCGCAAGGATGTCAAATGGTCGGTTAAGCACGAAGCGAAGGGTCTGGCTTCACATAATCTGGAACAATCAGAGTCCTCATCACATAATGGACCTCTAATGGGTTGGTTCTCTGAACCAGCGGAGAAGCTACGTCTTGCTTCGCTGAGCGATCTGCAACCTCCTCCTGAGCGTAGCCAGTCCTCTACTAAGACCACCAAGGAATGCAAGACATCAGACCCAAATGGCGATAGAACAGAAGCACCCAATCATTCGACCACAGGCAGCGGTCCAGCACTTACATTGCAGACCTCCGACGCCGAAAGCACCCCGGGGAAACAACATGACGCTGGGAGAGAATCACGACTAACTGATTTGTCTACGAAGTTGCGAGCATACTATTTTTCTGACACATGCCGTATCCTTTCCGCTTATGATTCCCCAACGAATCTCTTGCGAGAATGGGTCACACGGCTCTCAACTGAGCACCCCCTGATCGACGCCTGCGTTCTATCCATATCGGCTGCACATCTCTCGCAACAACAGCATGAGATGAGTAAACTGGATGCAAGTCACCACACAGCAGCGCTTTCAAAACTTGCTGCTGAACTCGACGCTCTGGACAAACAGTCGCCGTCAGACTCACACGATAAGGCTTTACTCTCCCCAAAGACCACCGCATCTACGACTGTCTTACTTCTTGGGATTACTATGATCGGGAAAACATCAGTGTGTATAATCCTGCTACTGATATGACCTTCACTAGTTCTAACCCCTACCCAGTCATGGAATGATCCATCCTCACCTGGAACGCAGCACCTCGAAGCGGCAAGGGCTATTTTCAAGTCGTTATACTGCGAACGCCACTATGAGCCTTCCCCAGACACCTGTCTGCTGGGACCGGATGACCCGCGTCCTCGACACTTCTTCGTTGGAGCTTTAGCTTACTGGGAAGCCTTGATGTCATTTGTCGTAGACAACAGCACAGACACGACAGACTACCTCCTACCCTTCCGCGACGACGAATGCAACATGTCATTTATCCATCCATGGAGCGGTATGTCTCCCAAACTCTTCATCTATCTGTCAAGGGTCGGCTCTCTCGCCCGACAGGCGCACCATCTACGGCGAGCATCGAATTCTCCGCAACGGACACCAAAAGAACGACACGAACTTCTATCGCAAGACAAGCATCTAGAAGAGTTAATATGCCAATATAGGTTTCCCCGTCAGGATCAGTTCCAAAGTACAGGTGATCCATCTACTCCAATCCTCCACTTCCGATTCCTAGCAAGAGCCTATGAACTATCAATTATGCTCGAGCTTTGTCGAACATTTCCCGAGTTGCTGCGCCGGGACCAACGGGAGTTGGATCACGACACTCAAAAACAACATCTGAATACTCTGGCCATCACGATTCTCACGCTGATCGCCAAGATACCCGAAACATCTGGAACGAGGGCAATTCAGATGCCGATTCTTGTGATAGCGGGGAGTACGCTTCAGTTTCAGCGGATTGAAGATCTGGATGTTGACATGGAAGTATTGCCTGAAGGTGTGCCGGTGTCTACTCAGACGCGTGGGCAATTCGATATACAGTTCTGGCGTCTATTTGTTGATTCTAGACTTGACAAGTTGGCGTCCTATATGGGGTTAGATACAGTCCGGCGGGCGTGTAGGATTGTGAGAGAAACCTGGGCTCGGGCGGACCGGTTATTGTTGAGTAGTTCATTGCATGTGCATTGGATTGACGTGATGATCGATAATGGATTGGAGACGCTTATAGGATAGATTGTCGACAGATTGGGTACCTGATTTGACAGCAGGGTATCTACCACTGCCTCAGAGAGACCCCCACCAGGCCATGTCTATATTTCATCAGAACATCCAAGATTCCTTGGCCGCTCCTCTCAGATCCGCCAGATTGTCAATTTCCTCCATCTCAATGACGAACCGGACAAATTACGACAGCCAAGAGATCTACTCGGAGAAGATAATATACAAATTTATCTCGTTCCTTGTGGTTGCAAAGTTAAGGTTGTAGTCGGAGAAGGGGCAGTACTACGTCACGGCCGATGAATGACGCCATGACTGACGACGCCTGTATTTATCCCTTGCCCTACCTACTTCGACACCTGGGTCTTTTCACTTCAGCAGACATAGTCTGACAGACACAGTACTTTTTCAATCATTCTGAACCATATTCCTGATATTATTACAATCCTTGCATCGTAAATAAATCTACAAGAATACTACAATGGGCCTCTGCATGTCCCTCATGGGCCGCAACCGGCGGAGATACCCCAGTATGGGCATGGGCGGTGGCTACGGCTACCCTCCCCCGCGCCCGCACTACGGTGGTGGCGGGGGCATGCCGATGCATTCCTACGGACGACCCCACGGTCCTCCTGGCGGTGGCTTTGGTGGCCGAAGAGGGGGTGGCTTTGGACCGCCTGGTGGGAGAGGAGGATTTGGTGGGGGAGGAAGAGGGAGATGGTAGATTGTGAAGATAAAGTATGTCAGCTGTTGATCTCTTAATTGGTGTGTGCTAATATCTGAACGTAGGGCTGGGATGGTATTGAAAGAAACGAGGATATATGAACGGGGCTTTCTGGCGGGCACAATTTGGAGTTTGGAGTCAGCTGTTTGGATTTCGGATATTATGGACGTGTCGAAGCTGCATAGACATGCTTCGTGTGAGAGAGAAGAAAGCATGTTTTAGTTCACTGCCATCGAGTTATTATTGAGGCAACCGACAATCCGCTTCGATTAGATCACGATACACATAACATGGTCTTTACATTTCTCTGACTGATGTTCAATGAATCATTTTCGATGGATCCAAGGGACTGGACCTTTGATGGTATATACTACCCTAGACAATGGACTGTGGACTGTATGGAACCTGCCGCTCCAGTAACTGTGCCTGGGGTCATCGATGCTTGTTGCACACATATATAAATTACACAGGTTTGGCCTAAGCACATACCTAGGCCTCGATGGCTCTCATGAATGCCGGGCTCTCGTAGCCCTCCACGACCTTGGCGATCGGGATGTAGTGTGCTTCTGGGAGCTGGTTCTGCAGCTGACGGACGTAGTGTTGGGCGACCTTAAGCCACAGCGCTTTCTCGCGCTGGCTGGCCCCGGAGCCTTGCCAGACCCACAGCCGACTGCCAACATCGTAGAGAAAGATGTCGTTTCCAACCAAGTCGGACTTGCTCACACGCTGGCCATCTTTGACCAGGTCGAAAGTGAGTGTGCCGGACGAGTCGCTCAGTCTAAAGAGCTTGCGTGACCGCACATCGCCGCCGTCGTCCGTGCGTTTGGCGAAACGCCCCGGTCGCGGAGCCTGGAATGTGGATGGGTCGGCCTCCTTGCCTCCCAGCAAGTCCACAATGACCCTGGAGCGCGACTCGAGCTGCGACAGAACCTCGACATCAATGTGCTTAGCAAGAGTCATGTCATTGACCACCTGCGCAGCTTTGGCCTTCTCCATGGGGCTGCAGTTCTTGCCCTGCCAGACCCAGATCTTATCACCCTTGTCCAGCACGAACACATCATTCTCGTCGAGGCTTTCCCAGGTGGGCTCCACCTCGTGCACAATAATCGAGCGACCTAGAGAAGGATGCTTGAACACGCGAAGCAAGGTGAGGATATCCTTGGGTGCTTCAGGCTCGACGTGGTGGAATCCAGACCGCACGCCGCCCGACCGGATGGAGATGTGCCGGAACAGACCCAAGAATTCCTCGGATGGCTCCTGTTCAATCTCGCGATGCTGCGTCGCGGTGCCATGCAGGAATTCATCCAGCTCGACCGTCTTGTAAGCAGCTGTACCGGCTTCATCCTGGGTGGTCTTACTGCCCAGCCAGAAGAAGATGTCATGACCCAGCTTGTCCCCCACCTTGTACGAGTGCAGCACGATGTAGCTGTCTCCGTTGTAGAACTCTCCCGTACGCTCCTTGGGCCATGGTATAACCTCGAAGTTCTCGATCCTCCACACGAACAGACCCGGCTCCTGGCCGATAGATCCGTTGTTCCAAGCGGGCTCGGTAGCGGCGGAGTTGTACTTGACACGGTGGTCAAGGTCGGAACCGATTAGTTCCACATTGCTGTCCTTGATATCGTATTCTTTGGGGTGGACCAGTCCTTCGTGAGGGGGCATGCTGTCGGTGAGAGAAGTGGTAACTGATAATGGAGAATGGCTAATAAGATGTGTGTTGACTGTTGAGTTCGAGGAGATGTCCTGCAGCTGCTGCTTCTGCGGGGTCCGGCAGAACCGGCGGGGGAAAGGGTGGGCGGTGAACTCAGGGGGGGATCGCCCTCATGCTTGCCCGATGTGGGGTGCTGAACCAGCCCCGGCCAGTTGCCCCGTTAGGATGTCATCAACATTCCACAGGGTCATTTTTGTTAATGGGACTTCCTTGGACACGCTAGACTCGCGTGGTTGCTTGTTGCTACTCTATACATCTACTGGTCTGGTTCAGCCAGTGCTCTTTCCCAATTGATGACGGTCGTCCAACGTGATACCCACTTATGGCCTGCAATACAACCTCCCACGCTCCCTAGGAGACGAGGATGTTGTAGAGGTGTGCTCTGGTGCATTTGGAATTTACAGATCGAGCTGCACAAGTAATTTGAACAGGTTATTGCACTTATACCCCTAGCTCTTGCTGCTGGCAATGGCTCACTTGCTCACCATGACCTTCCTATACCCCAACTTCAAGAGCTAGGGCATCAAAATTATGCGTCTACTCCACATTAGTTGCCTGCGAGGGACATCTGTGACGCATCCATCTCTACGACAAGCAGCAGGGGAACTGAAACCACCTTGAAGATTATATTGAACCTTCCGCCTCTCGATCTGCAGATTGACCATCCCAGCTGTCGCCAGCCACTAAGCTGACGACACCACCAGCTGATACTAATTTGATCTTGCCACACTCTGAAACAGGCAGACGCACCGGGTATATCAGGCAGCCGATGAAGTACAAAAAAGCTCCGGGGGATCAATTCAAGCGCATAAAGTACCGTTGCTGTCTCCAGAATTTCCGCAATACACTGGTAGGGAATGCCTTCTGCAGATCACTCGTCATCTGCTTGTCCCTTGCATCCGTTCCACTGCACTGGCCACGTAGAATATGGATCGATCCCCATCAGCTAATTGGAATGCTGCGCACGCATTCCTCACTATACACCCGTTACCTTGGACTGGCTTCCTTCAACTTTCCTGGTCTTATAGAGGTTTCCTTGCCTGATCACGGCGCCGTCCAATGAGTACTCGTGCTTTTCGGAAGATACATTTCCATAAACACCGCGTGCCCCCAGCAGTGCTCCAAACCTCCATTTCAGCATCTTTTTGCGTGATGGGCCATCACCTGCACATATCTCCAGATCATGGCGCACCCCTTGATTGGTAGGGTGGACACAAGTTTATCCACATAAGCTCTCTGGCGGACACGCAAAGTAACTCAATGCACGATGATCCTCTACCAGATTCAGTGCCTGACGCGTGCTATGCACTATCTAAGTACTACATGTCGCGGACCAGGGGAGATTCACCTTACAGGGATGATCGACCGAAACCACAGCCGATCTACTTTTAGATATGTCCTGTAGACATGGCCCAAGTCAAGAACGAACTACATATAGTCCCCTGTGGCTATCAATCGGCAGACAAAGAAGATATTACAGCAGGGCCATCGAAGGCGAAGCACGTCAGCCGAACTCAGGACATGGACGAATACCTGCTGAAGAATGACCTGGAGTTCACGCCAGATAGACAATATGTCCGGTGGGCAAAGGGAAACAAGAAGCATCCCCGCAATTGGAGTGCAACCCGCAAGGTGTACGATATTGGGTTAATCTTTCTGTTGGACCTCTTTGTGTAAGTATTTACACCTCGATGTTGCTGCACTGCTAACAACCGCAGAACTGCTACAAGTACTGCTGGTGTATGTTTCTCATCCAACAGTGTGGCCATTCTAATGATCATAGGCATCGGCCGCTTCAGAGGCCCAAAACGAATACCATATTGGAAATACCTTGTGCACGTTCTGCTTTGTGACTTTGTACGTTCTTTCAGACCTCTGACAGTACCCGACTGACCGTATAGATTCCTCATGGGGCAGGTTGTTGGCGCGATTGTCTTTCCTCCGTGGTCCGAGTGCTTTGGACGCAAAAAACTATATTTTATCAGCAGCACCGGTAGTGCGTTATGCTGCCTGATCATTGGGGTCGTTCATTCCTTGGTCGCCGTGGTCATCTGTCGCATCGTGGGAGGGTTCTTGAGTGCTATCCCATACACTGTTGGCAGCGGCAGCAATGAAGACATGTTCAACTCACGATCTCGCATCTGGACCACATTTCTCTGGACCATTGCCTCAAATGTCGGTCTTCTAATCGGCCCAATTATCAGCATCCTTGTTGTTGAAAACCTACATTGGTATGTGTCCTGATCCGGCTCCCCAAAGCTAGCTCTAATTCAATAGGCGCTGGGTATTTTACATATACACGATCATCCTCGCTGTCATGAGCGCGTTCTTCCTCCTCATCCGAGAATCACGTCCCGCCCTGCTCCTGGCCCAAGAGGTCTCACGCATCCGCCACGAAACGGGCCACGACAGCCTACAGCCTCTGAACCACGACCACTCCCCTGACCTCCGCACCTTCATCAAAGCCTCGCTGTTCCGACCGCTGCAGCTCTTCTTCGGTGAGCTTCTCATATTTACCATGGCCATGATGATCGCCTTCTCCTTCGCCTTGGTCTATATCTTCACCGAGGCACTCCAACCGATCTACGAGTCCATGAACTTTACACCATCAGCTGCCGCTTTGCCTTTCCTCGCCGTCGGCGTTGGTGTTTGTTTCAGCACTTTTACTCGTATTCTCGACTTTCGAATCATCGATGCCAAACACGCAGCGTCTCAACCCGTCAAACCAGAAGATAAACTGACCGGGCTGGCCATCGGGGCCCCTGCTTTTGCGATTGGGCTGTGGTGGTTCGCCTGGACCATTCCCCCGAAGGCGGAGGATATTCATTGGATCGTCCCTACGGTCTCCCTTGTGTTGATTGGGTACGCATTGAATGAATTTGATACTGTGCTATATGGATATCTGGCAGATAGCTATCTGAGCTATTCGGCTAGTGGCACGGCGGCGGTACAGCTAGTCCGGGCAGGGATGTCGGGAGCATTTCCGCTATTCACACGGCAAATGTTCGACGGGCTGGGAGCGAATGTTGCGGCTTCATTGTTGGCAGCGTTGGCAACGGTGTTCTGCAGTGTGCCGTTGTTGTTTTTGTTGTATGGGGAGCGGATCCGAGCGAAGAGCCGGTTCGCGAAGCATAGCCTGGAGGTTCAGGAGCAATTTGTCAAGCAAGGTTGAAAAGTGCTACTGTTGTGCTTCAATCCCGGCTGTGGGTATTTCCATGGCCTATACAATGTGGTCTCGGCGTTCCGGGTTGCAATCTATTCGAGCAACTTCAGATGAGATTAGAGTTGTGAGACAAAGTAAGTATTGTTAATCACAATCAACGTTAAATAAAACGACGGCGCATATACCATTCTCATCGTATCAAAATGACATGATTTCCTAACAATCCTTCCCCACACAAAGTCAACTTACAACCCCAAAGCCGTCAAAATAGCCTTTCCAACCCCAGTCGCACTCGCCGGGTTCTGTCCCGTAATGACCGCTCCTCCCAACTCGGCAACCTGGGACACCACCACCTTCTCCCCCCACGGCTGCTCAGCCTTGACATAGGTAGCACCCACCCTCTTCAACTCATCCTCCAACATAAACGGCATAATCGAACTCAGCTGCACCTGGTCCTCCTCGGTATTCGAGAACCCAGTCACCTCCGCACCCTTCAACAACGCTGTTCCGGAGGGCGTGGTAGCATTCACTAGCACCGCAGGGCCATGACACACCGCCGCGACGGGCTTCTTGGCCACAGCGAAGGCTTGGATCAGGGCCAGGGAGGTCTTGTCACTGTAGAGGTCGTACATAGCTATACCACACAGATACTCATCAGCATTTCGTTGACTATAGACGGGTAAAATATGGGATACATACGTCCATGACCACCAACGTAGAAGATGGCATCGAATTCAGAAACCCGCGACACAACATCCGACAGCTTGACCGTGTTGGTCCAGAGGGATTCCTGCTCCTTGAGGAATTTCTGGGACACGGGGTCCTGCTTGAACATTTCAATGGAGCCCGGGTCCAGTGGGGCTTTGCCGCCGGCTGGGGAGGCGATTACCAGCTCAGCTTTGGAGTGGAGGACGTCCCAGGGGTGGGCGAATTCGGGCTATATTGTTATTTTGTTAGTAATGAGGAAGTTTGGCAGAGAGGAATTGAGGGTTGGGCTCACCAAGTACCAACCGGTGGGGTTATTGTTGGCATTGTGGTGGTCGTGGGAGGTGAGGACGACGAGGACTTTGGGGGCCATCTTGGATGAATAGTTGTTATTTGGTTGACTTAATTGAATGGCAATTGAGAAGATGAGGTTTGCTTCCTACTCTGTATTTTGGGGAGAACGGGACCACTGTGTATTTAAATTTAAATGCCTGGCGGGGTTCTGGCTGGGGGGAAATTGAACAGGATGACATCAAACAGGCATAGCTCTGGTGGGGTGATTGCTGATTAGTCACTCAAGGTCGTGGGGCTACAGGAGACTTGCCCTAGACGGGACTAGCGTCAGGCATCGATCCCGGAAGGGTTCATTATTCAGCTGGCTTCGATCCTGGTCCGGAGGTTTCGATTGCTTCAAGATGGGTTATGTACAAGCATTTCAGGGCTGTTAGTGGCTGCGGAGACAATATGCTTATGTCCGATTCGTAATGATAATCCTGTCAGCATTTTAGTGCGAGGACCTGGTTAACTGTCTCTCCATTTGTCCGGTTGACCGCTATAGTGTGACGAGCTGTGGGACTGGCTCGCTGATCAGAGCCTCGGTACGGAGTGACCTTTACTGTGTTGTAGCAGGAGATTAGTCCTACATCCTATTGATGTGTATCGGCATGGAGGTTTAAAAGTCGCTAAAGTGCAGGTGTGACGTGATAGCACTCTGTAATCAGTCTATTTGGATGAAACATATATCACCTACTTAGTAGTTTGTACTTGATTCCACCTCGGGCAGTTCACTTCATTACTATCAATATGCTCAGTAGCTACTTCCATCATGCAAATGAGACTGTCTCTACTGCATCACATCTAGTGAACGCTCAACATTCACAGATTCGCCAGGATAGCATCAGCGCCCGAGACCTACGTCTGTCAGCATACATTTACCAATACTGAATAAAATGTGGAAAGAAAGGTACATACCTTAACAGCACCCTTCTCCGTCTCAATCTGTGCATAGGTCACCTTGCCATGGTCAATGACAATGGCGAAGCGCCCGGTACGACCAGCGTTGGCCCAGCCGAGAGTGTTGGCGAAGCGGGCATCGGGATCAGTCAGGAAAAGCTAGCATCGAAGCATCGTGAGCAATGGGGCAAGGAGAATATTTCCGAGGGGAGGGGGCTCACAATATCATCATTCTTAACGTTGTTAGCCTTTCCCCATGCGCTCATGACAAAAGGATCGTTGGAGGCGATCACTGCAACAACCTGCACACCCTTCTCCTTCAGCTGAGGAAGGTTCTGGATGTAGCCGGGGACATGGTTGATGGAGCAGGTGGGGGTGAAGGCACCTATTATGATGGTTTGTTGGTCGGATGTTTATTTGAAAAGCATAGGTTAGGGTGGGTACAAACCAGGAACAGAGAACAGGACGACCTTCTTATCGGCCCATTCTTTCGAAGCGTTGTAGTTAATGGGGATACCGCATGCGGTGATGTCGCCCTTTTCTTCGCTCCAGGGGATGTACCTGGCTGTTCGTTAGATATAAGGAAGGTTACTCATTTAATGGACAACGCACTGGAAGACAACGTCGGAAGGGAAGGAATCGCCGGGTTTGAGAGCCATGGTTAATGCTAGTGCGGGTGGAAGAGGAGTGGAGAGGATGAGGAGGAATCAAGGGGATGGGAAGTTGGTTGGTGTTGTAGAAATGGAACTGCGGGGTAGTCAATGAAGGGTGGGAGGAAGTAATCATCTATATTAATAAGTAGCTACAGCTGCAACTAAGTACTACTAGTTACTAGCTATCCATTAGTCGGTGGCGCCCCCAAGGTTCTGATTGCGCGATGCCATCCCCGAAGCAGTAAGTAGCTCTGATCCTGCACTTCTCGGAGGTCTCCGTATGCCGCCGTCTTGCTCGGGTCGGCTCGGCAATTGAAATTGTCGGTAGGAGGAAATTTCTTATATCATGTCATCATTGCAATATTTTGATGATAATGTCTATACTCTTATATCTAGATCGCTCAATGCTTAAACCAATCCAGCCCGCCAGAATTGCACCGGCACCTCCACCTTCGCTCCCAGCTTCTTCGCCGCGTTCATCACCCACTCTGGTTCACGCATGAACTGTCGCGCCATCAACACCAGATCCGCCACGGGCTCCGGTCCAGATACTGTCGCATTGGCGGCGTGCGCCTCATCGGCGCCTTCCACGAGTCCTCGGGCCTGGTCGGCCTGGGTGATGAACCCGACTGCGCCCACCAGCGTCTTCGCGCCGGTCGCATGGATGGCTTTGCGCACCTGTGCGGCCAGATCAATGTGGTAGTTGGTGTGGATATTGATCTTCTGGCTATGGTGGTTACCCCCGGAACTGACATCCAAGAGGTCGACTCCGAGCTCTGGAAGCAAAGGCAGAAGCTTGAGCGAGCTCTCCATGTTCCAGCTGCCTGATTCCGCCGCAACAGCCTGTCCGTCCAGCCATTCCGTCGCACTGATCCGCAAGAACAACGGAGTACCGCTGGGGACGGCCGCCCGAATGGCCGTCACGGTTTCCCGGAGAATGCGTGTGCGGTTCTCGAAGCTGCCTCCATACTCGTCCGTCCGCTTGTTGGTCACCGGGCTCAAGAACTGGTTGATCAGGTATCCGTGAGCGGCGTGGACCTCGATCACGTCAACACCAGCCCGGATGGCCGTCTCCGCACTCTTTGCGAAGGCCTGCACTATTTCTTTGATCTCCTCGACCGTCAAAGCCCGAGGCGCCCAGTATCCCTCGCCAGTTCCATCCCAGGCCTGGTCCGCACCACCGCTGGGCCCGACCACCTCGGACGGGAATCCACCCGTACTCTCGTCCGCCTTGACGCAGGGCTTCTTGGCCTGCACGGCCACCCACGGAGGGAGCACACTCGCCTTGCGACCCGCGTGGGCGAGCTGGACAGCTACCTTGGCACCTTGGCTGTGACAGAATCGCACCACGCGCTGCAGACTCTTGAATTGCTCCGATTCAGGGGAATGCTCCCACAAGCCCGCGTCGTTGGGAGAAATACGCCCGTTGGGCTGGACAGCCTGGGCTTCGACGAAGACGAGACCGGCGCCTTTAAGAGCGAATTGGCCCAGGTGGGCAATGTGGTAATCCGTGAGGGCGCCAACGAAGGGAGAGGAGGTATCGCTTTCGGCGGAGTACATGCACATAGGCGAGACAACGACGCGGTTCTTGAGGGTCACATCGCGAATCTTCAAGGGGCGGAAGAGCGTGGGAGTGTTGGGGTCGGCGGGGTTGAGGGCTTCGCCGCCATTGTTCGCGGGGGTAAAGTAGGGGGTCTCCGTGGAGGGAATCACACGGGGGGCTTGGTGGAAACCCATGGCGATGAAGAGGTTTGGAGGAAGGGAGCGAGAAGCAATTGCTGTAGCCAAGGAGACATGATGAACAGTGGCCGGGTGGGTTTTATACCCAGCGCGTCCGTGAGGTTGAATTGAATTAATAATTGACCCTCCGATGGTGACATTTTCGGGTTGGGGATTTGCTGACAAATGGGCCATTCCCGGATAATCGGATGAGAAGCCCTGCTGATTCGGGGATGCCCCATGCAGTGCACACCAGCACGCCGAATATCCAAGGGCAAACTTACTGAGAGAGCGTGTCTTTCATGTCTTTCAAAATCTTCAAGAATGCTGTGTCCAAGCCCCAGAGCGTGTCATGTCCCGTCCCTTTCTCCATCACCGATTCAAACGAGACCACCCCGTTGAGATCGGATTTGGCGAAACAGTCCTCGAAGTATTTCTGTCCCTTAGGTCCAATCATCCCATCCTTCTCTGCAAAAATGGCCTTGATCTGCAAAGGCTGCTTCACCTCCGGGTGCCCTGGTTGGTACCACTGTTCTGCCCGCACCAGCCAGCGGATATAGATCTGGAGGTCTTCACAGACTCCCCACAACCCAGTTGTCTTCTTTAGGCAGACAACAGCCTCATCGTTCATTCCTGTGGTATCCTCCAGGAAAATATACTCCACGCATAAGTTTTCCAACTCCTCGGCGGTGCGTGGGTCCATCTCATCTGCAGTAAGATTTGGTTCACGGTGCTCAATGTCTTCTTTGGACGCACGGGGAATACTGCCGCCCATCGAGGCGAGAACGTCCAGACTTGAGGAGAGCGAAGGGACTGCTTTGGTGACTACGAATTTCATCACCTTGTTCCATTGTTTCAGAACGCCAGTAGGGATCATCCTGGCCATCTGTAAGGAGAGGATGTCCGAGTGTTTGGGCTCCACCCACGGTGCTGCGAATGTTAGCCTGCTGTGAGTTTAGTTGACGGCAAAAGATAAGCTAACCCATCAGTACTGCCATTGGCCTTTTCGGGCACAGCAGGTCGCGTCGATGCATCAACAAATTCAAGATGTAGATAGTGCCAGCACTGTGGGATATAGGGACGATGTGCTTAATGGATAGATGTTCCAACACCGCTGACACTGTCTCCAGCCATACTTGGACTCGCTGTCCAGGGGGAACCGGAGTTGAACCGCCAATGCCGGGTCTAAGATGTCAGCTTTCATCCGTGAAGAAAGGGACAGTGACAAAGAATACCGGTCGATGGAGATCATTCTGACCTCCAGTTTGTTAGCGAGATGGTCTTTATGGCAGGACCATAACCGGGACCCTGCCATTCCCTGAATCAGCAGCATAGTCGGGGTGGGTGAGCCATCCTTCGTTGTCCGGGGTCCGATGTCTGCATAGGTAACCGTAAGACGCCCATGATTTCCAGTAGCAGGCAGAACTATCCGCTGGTGAAAGCGCTTTTGCGCGACGAACTCGAGCAGGTGGATATTATGGGTATTATTCGACATGGCTGTGGGGACTAAAGGTAAGATAATGAAAGATGTTGAAGTTCAGCCCGGCTCGGTTAGTTGTGTTTAGTGCGGGGACCCTGGCTATATAGACTGGTAGATTAACGTTGGGAATGGAACAGGCAGCAACAGCAGAATGGCTTGTACGCGGCCTGTACTCAATAATGATTTCATTCAACAATGTAACCATCCCTACTTACTGCTTGGCAGGACGTACAATTTCCGTCAGCCTTACGCCTGATACACTTTCCTTCCCTCAAACCACGTCTCCAGCACGTTTGCACCCTTGAAATTCCCCTGGCTCAAATCCCGATCGACGACAATAAAATTGGCCATCTTGCCTACTTCCAAACTCCCAGTGCGATGCTGCGCCCCAACAGCCTCTGCTCCGCTGAGCGTCAGAACGCGACAGAGGATCTCTCCTCCGCGTTGCATTGCCGTCTCCCCCAACGCGAGACGCCGGCATCTCCCTCCAGGTTTGTATCGGACGCGTTCAACAATCGCAGCCAGGGCATCAAATAATGATGGCGTCTCGGGGAGCATCCAGTCCGAGCCAATGGTCATGAGTGCGCCCGACGCGAGCACCCCGTTGAACGCCCATTTGTTGAGTTCGGGATACTCTTCGACAACATCGTGATGGAAGATGGCGGGTGACATTTCCGCAGTCACTTTCAACGAAGCAAATCGCGCAATATCATCTGATACCTTATCAGTACGCGCGACGATTCAGCAAACGGAAATGGACTTACCCTTGTGCACCGCATTACAATGAGCAAGCTCGTGTTTGGGACCAGTCGGATTTCCTTCCCGGACCTTGGCGATGACATCCAGCGCCAGTCGAGCAGATCCCTCACCGGCGACATGCAGTTTACACGTCATGCCCCGGCCATCGTATTTTTTCACAGCCTCGAGCAGGAAGTCCCTATCCAGTGCCAAATGCGTCGGAATTGGCTGTCCATTCGCATCCAGATCCGCCTGCGTAAATTCCGGAGGCAGTGGAGCCCCATCTAGCCAGAACTTTACAAATTGAGTATGCACATGTCGGCTTCTGAATCCCTCCGCCACATCAAGCAACCCGGCTAGACTATCCTGCGGCTCCATGGCGAAATACACCGGCGCTGACACAATATGCGTATGGATATCCATATCCAGCCGGTTCTCCAGTTCCAGTTCACGCACTGCATGTAGGTATAAGGTGTTCGCCGACGCTTCCTGACAGGAGGTGATCCCAAATTTGTGGCATATGGAGATCGCATGGTGGATCGCGCGTTTGACATGCGCCAACGGCGGGATAGGCAGACAGTCAAAGACAGCCGTCATGGCATTTTCAACTACTTCCCCCGTGAGGGCTATTCCATCTTTTCGGCGGATGTAGTACCCTCCATCTGGATCTGGGGCGCCATTAGGATCTATTCCAGCACGGATAAGCCCAGCCGTATTTAGCAAAATTCGATGACAGGAGACTTCGCGGATGAGGACGGGCTGATCGGGGTAGTGATCATCTAGGTATTTGCGATCGGGCACGCCGTTGGGGAAATGGCTCGCCTGGTAGAAGTTCCCGATGAGCCAGTCCCCGGTAACATTGGCGTAGGCGCATGCGCAGGAACCTTTAGCGAGTCGACATGTGAGGTTGTCGGGGGTGGAGTCGAAGCCGATGCGGGCTTCGTTCAGCCCTTGTAGGCCGGCGACGAGCAGGTGCGTATGGGCGTCGTGGATGCCCGGCATGACAAAGCGTTGGCGCAGGTCATATTGAATGAGGCCGCGAGCCGAGGCGATCTCCAAGATGGCTGCGTTCCTGCCAATGTGTTCGATGACCCCCGTCGGGGATACAATAAATGCCTCGGCCCAGGGTTGGTCGTCGTTGATGGTATATACGCGACCGTTGTGGAAGGCGAGGGCGTTGCTGGAGTCGATCGACGAATAGACTCGCATTGTGGATAATAGGTAGGTTTGCTATGATTAATAAAAGAGTCCACTTCATCGTCTTTATACATGCGCTGCCTCGGCTACGTTGAGGTGATATCCGATGCCGGAATAATTCCGTATCATATCGACCAGTCACACCCAACATTTCACTCATCAGACGCCTCCAAGAACTGGTCCTATGCATCTTTTATGGATGCGTTGGCTAAGCATAGCTTCCAGGTTTTGTACAGCCTAGATGCTCCTGGCCAGGTAGTAGTAGACTAAGTACTTTATCCATCCGCAATGAAAGCACGATTCTCCCTCCAAAATCGTGAGATTTGGCCCCGAAAGCAGACAGTTAAGTATCTCTCACGTGTTTCCAGTCACCACGATCATCACCACCTGTATCCTGTGAGATATTACTTTTAGGCGTATCCCAATTTAGATCCCAGGAATATTTGGGGAACGGTCAGGCTCCACTCGAACACGGCCCACACACTATGTTTCTTCCACTGCAGTCGGATTCTCTGTAGCGTGGAAGTAGCCATACGACTCATCTGTTGTCTAACGTTGTACGCGCTATAAACTAGTTCACTCTGACACATACAGTAAATTCATTCTGTGTAACAGCTCATCATTCAGAATAAGTTAACACACTTCACTATAACGTCAACTCGACAGCGATGCATTAGTACTTAGTTGATGACCCAAGCGGCAAGTAGTATACTGCCCCTATGGCAACACAACATATCTGCTGGTACCTGCCGTGTCGGTTTATACCACTGTACATTCTACCGACAGTTTATTGGCATTGGAAGGTCCCGACCACGGGATTGCACTCACTTTACCGCAACAACATCTTCCATTCCGTATCTGATCCTAAGGTAACGGCTAAACTTTAACTTCCATTCTGACCACCGTGCTTCCTTCTGCATACCTCACTTTGCCAGGCCGAGTCGAGGATAAGCTCAGTCATATCGCTCGCGGCAGCGGCCATAGCGCTAGTAATCACAATCAGTAGGCGATCTAGTAGTGAACAAGGTACACTCACCTCGTGGTGCTGTTTGCGGCACTCGTGGCAGCGATTTCCGCGACGACATTCCCAGTCGTATTCGCACCGTTCGCCACAGTAGTTTACCTGTTGAGGAAACGAGAATTAGCCATGCAGACCAGATGCTGGGTTATGGCGCATACATCGAGAGTGCCATCGGAAACCTTAGTGCTGCCAACGTCGTCGGTGCTGGACTCCGTTGCAGCGGCCAGGGCAAGACCCAGGAGGGCCATGGATGCGAGCAGAGTAAATCTCATGATGATGCTGATTGGTTTGTTAGCATTCCCTAGCATTCTCACCATATAAACCAAAGTTGTACATGTATATTAAGGCTCAACTATTGGGTTGTCAATTTGATAGTGGGTCATGTCGTGATCGAGCTCGAGGATGATGCCTTCTGGGGGAAGCCATGTCTATTTAAGCTCCTAGTTAGGTCTCAAGCGAAGTTTTGTTTCCTTCCATCGCATGACTACCACTGTGCTACTAAATGTCAATGGAAACTTGATGCCTCGGAGGGTGTAGTGGCTCGGTTCCATTCGGAGGGTATCCGAGACGCTCTTGTGTGTTTCTTGAAGCCAAGCTTACTACCTCTGCTCATAATAACCCCTCGTTGGCGCAGGAACTACCGACGCCAAGGTCGAGAAGGTTAGAGCTGTCGGTTCAAGTATGGGGTAGTTACAGTCTCCTAGTCATCCTCCCCGCATTCAAGGCTTGTGCAACAAGCGGAGGATACGGCAGTCAACGTTGTGCACGACCTCCGAAGGTAGGGCGACAAAGCCTTTACGGCTGTATTCCCAGGCCACTGGGTCCTTCCATATCGCAGGGCTATGTTGTGCGAAGGAAAACGAAACATCCAAATCGTGTTAACTCCCATATCCGCGCTGGATATATGTGATGAATGAATGGGTTCGGTATGAATAATTCAGCAAAGCATTGTCCATTGCAGGAGCCCTGAAAAACTGCACACCTTCAGGATGTTACACAGGTTAGCTTATTGTTTACCCCGAAAGCTAATCCTGCTGCCAAGATGTAAGCTTATAATGAGGAAGGCCTGCTCTTACGGCTCGATACATTTGTACAGCTGACCTGATCCTCGGGGACGGCATCGAACATCATGCCACTCGCCTCTGTTGAATGACTCCCTCAATTCTTGGCAAATCATGTATGTGATCTTGCAATCTCTGCTTCGATGTGGACTTGCACTCGTGGGATTCTACCGCCGTCCGAGCGGCATAGGTAAACTACCTTCCTTTCGTACAGAGTGCAGCCTAGAGTTTCGGGGACACCGAGATGATATCAAGATTCTGTTGGCCGCTTCTTGTGCGCCCAGCAAACTCCACACCCAGGAACATGCGAACCAGAAGGGTGTCAACTGACTTTGACGTTCATCACCGTGGAACTGAACGGCTAACGTGCCGTATTCTATAGCATCTTTGTTTGTGACTTGATAATGCTCACTTACAGTTGTGGGAGTCTTGAGCGAAGATGCCATGGTTGATATGCACCATTAAGCCATGGGTCAACATCAAATCAAGCAAATGCACGGGCCGAGCTAGACAGCATCCTGACAGTCCATTGTTCATAGTGGAGCACCCTAGCCATGATTGGGTACAGCTAGGAAGGTTACTATAGGCATGAAGCCACCCTGGACGCCTGCGGTAGTTTCTCAGCCATATCCGGGGGTATGAAAGAATGGAAACCATTACCGCAAATGTCTAGCTCAAAAGCTTTGCTGGGAGAGTGGGGAGTGCACTGGCTTGCCGGGATGGCAGAGTTGGACCATTGAGGAAAGCCAAACTGCCCTGGTAGGCAACTAGTCATTGGACTGGTGGAGCCAGCAGATAAACGTCCTACTAATTCCCTTCACGCTTTATTCCCGTTCAATCTCTTTCTCGAAATTCCCCGTTTGCTACAATTCAAGCAAGCTACACTGTGTTTGGAATTACTACGAAGTAATCTTGTTTGATTTGGCTTTGAGAGTGAGGTCTCCTGAAGCCGAACCCTCGTGCAGGATTTATCATGAAGGTACTGGGTGATCTCGGCCTGCCAGATGCGGGTCCCGATATACCCGAGCCCACAACTTCCCAGGGTTACATCGATCTGCAGGACCCGTGGAGAAATCGACAACCCACTTGTTGAACCAGGAAGAAAATCATTGACTCCAATCATTGTCCACTCGCTTCAATCACCGGTACTATCCTTGGTTATCTAGATGAGTAGTAGGCTACCGGTCCGCGGCGAATTAGTGAACTTTGGCGAGAATTCCGACCGCGAACGGCAATCAACTTCCCTCATGACGTCTCTTGACGTCGACTAACTACAGGAAACAATTCCTATCTGGTAGTCATGATGTCTTTGTCCTGTGGAAAATGTGGCATGTGCTATTGCTGATCCGAAGTGGCAGACGCATAAATTCTCAGAGGACATAACATCAGGCGAACGGCTTGGGGAGAGTTGCAAAAACAGAATCAAGGCATCGAAATTCGCCATTGACTACAAGCAAGAATGACTGCTGTGACAGTTCCTCAGCCACTTCCAGTGGTGCCGCCTGAGCCGTATTCCTCGACGAAGACGGCCATCACCAAAGTCCCTATCACACTAGACTGTACTTTACACGACCTATACTCCTTGGACAATGACACTCCCGAGAACATTGTTCTCGCTTATGATCACCCTTGCAAGTTCCCCCACGACCAACTCAATTCATCTCCATATCCGCGGTTTCTGTACGCTGCCAATTTTCCCGATATGAATGCAGAAGGGGAGATGCCGAACTTACAGAAGCGCGGTGTCGCCCAACGATATTCCTTCGTGGCTGGTCGTACACCTGTCCTGATGATTGACCTGAGTGGGAGTGGGGGTGAAGAAGTTTCAAGCCTCTTGACAACGTCAAAGGACGAATTACGGCGTCTCTATGACCAATTGAGCCCGGAGCAACGGCCCAACGCGCAAATAGTCAGGAGTACGCACGATGTCCAACTGACCCCGGACTCGCGTGCAGTATTAATTGTGCCGCATGATCATATGTGCGCAATGTTAGATCAAGCACTAGAACCAGAGATGCTTTACGAGGTCCTGTCTAAGCGTTGGCTGGCCGTGAGTGGACTGCCAACACCAAAGTCCAAGGTTATCGATCCGCTACCGGTAAACTCCTGGATAGCAGGCCGAGACGCAGAAGTCAGACGGATGCTGCAAGCTGTTCAGCAGCAAAGCTTCCCCTTTGTGGTGAAAATATCTATTGCTACCTCGGGCTGTGGAACATTTGTTATCCGACGTGAATCGGATAGAGGCACTGCTATTAATGAGATACGGGGTCTCCTCGAGGATGGGCTCAAGAAAGTTAATGAAGAGAACGAGCAACTGTATCCTGCAAGCTTCGTCATTCAGGAGCTAGTGCCAGGTGAGGCCCATGGAGTCACATTTTTCGTAACTAAAAAGGGCCGTGCGGTGTACTTAGCCACGTCTCGACAGCGTTTCACCCAGGAAGGGTTCTGGAATGGTGGGTGCGTGTCGTACCTCTTGCAACCCATGTTTCAGGATCGGTATAGATCTACGATAGAGGTTTTGGCCAAAGCGTTGCACGACAAAGGGTACTACGGGCCGGTGGGAGCCGATGTCATGACAGATGCAAATGGGGAGCATGTTATAGTCGATGTCAACCCACGCGTTACCGGATCTTACCATATGGGGCTGCTTAAGACCCATTTCATGCAACGTGGGTTATGTGAAGCGGCAGTTCTCTCCCGCTTAGATATTCCTTGCACGCAGGTTGCGTTCGAAGAACTCTTCGCGGCGGATATTGCGCAAGGAAGGTTGATAATAAACGCATGGGTCACCGATTCTAAAAAGGAGAGCAGCCATGCCGTCCTGACGGTGGGAGCGGAGGACGCTGTCAAACTGGGTCGGTTGATCCGTCTTATCGAGACATTTGTCAAGACGGGAGAACATGCTGAAAGTGCTGAACTATGAGAGGGTGATAGTTGGTTGTTCAATTTGGCGTTTATTGATGTCTCATGATAAAGAGGTAATATAGCATAATCACCAGCAGCATAGCCATCCTAGGCCCTTGCTTTCTTGATCGTCGCTAAAATGCTTCTCATCAACATATTCCCCATCATCCTCATAATCATTAGGGTCATCCCTATACCGTTCCTTTTCTTTCTTGATGCCCCTGATCCACTCTATTTCTAATTCGAAATCCCCTTCCTGTTCCCCGAAGAAACTATCACAATCAAGTCAGCACCAGACCAACAGCCCTAGCCCACCTATCCATTGCAACAAGTTACTCACCTCCGAATCATAATCCCAAACTGCTTCACCCCCGCCAAGATCAAGGGTCTCCCCATATGCACCTCCCTCCCACGATACGTCGGCCGAAACTCCCTCCACCCCAATTTTACCTTCGTCTGCCCCTTCTCGACCTTGAACTTCGCTTCCCACACCAACCCGCTCCGCTGGCGCCCATCCGGTCGAGGATCCTGCAACTCATCTCTCAAATTCAAGGTGTACGTGTGTCCATCACTTTTAGGGATAGAGAGTTCCAGTCCAGCGTAGCTACTCAGATCCCATAAGTCGGTGGTACTGGCTGTGTGTTGCGAGGCGAAGCCTGCTCCGCCAAGGGTCTTGATGTCGAGATTGCCGTGGAAGGTAGCGGTGTTGGTGTCGTCGTTGATGGTGAGGTGAGATTGCGAAGAGCCACCGCGGACACGGTCATCGGAGGAGGTCCAATCGGTGGAGGACCAACGTCTTCGATTTGGTGGTTTGTTAGGTGGGAATGGACGTGATGGTTGTTTAGATGGGTGGACTCACTGCGATCCCCCGAAGAAGAAGGGGCCAGATGGACGTTTGGTACACATTTCTTGTATATATGCGTTGTGTTCTGGTTGAGGTTGGCGGGGGAATATTTGTGAATGTTTGGAATTTTGCGATAACATTGGAATTGTTGAGACTGGATTGAATGTGGATCGATCGATCGCCGCGGTCCGGACTCGATGACGTCGGTGCTTTGTATAGCTTCCGTTGCCGCACTTTATCGATCGGGTTTGGGTCGCGACGGGGCTAGACTTGTTTGAGTTCACTGTGTGAAGCTTGAATACTAAATAGAATTGCATTGTTTGTGGATGTGATACTTAGGGTTGCTTTTATTGCTGTAGCTTCGGTTACTATTGTATTTCAATGTGTCTCGTGTCTTGATGGGCATGCCGTGACTAGTGTGCCCTACCTGCCACTACCTTCAGGCTAGGTCTTGTTCTTCCTCATGAACAAGTCTATCTGTAAAGGATACCTTCCATTGTCGTAGATCTTATCAGTGGTCAGTAGCGTAAAGGATGAACAGCAGCCATTCTAGAATCCAATCCGCTACCACGCAGTTACACAATGAGGGACCTCTCATTGCAGGACACGATCCCTCCGGTTCATCCATCATAACGTCGCCCTGACGCAAGCTCGTAAAAGTAGAAGCCAGCTTGTGAAAGAGACCAAGAGGTTATAAGCTTATCCGCCGGAACACGAACCGATTGTCGCTCTCCCGACGGACGCTTAATTTTGACGTCACCCATCCGCCATCGAATCTAGACCTATATTAGCATTAAAGCCCTCGTTGCTTGGAAGTAACAATTTACAGATATATTGTATCGGGCATTTCGTTACCTAGTCAGTTATATACCTAGTCCACATTCTACCGCTCTCAAACACAATGGCTGCTGCTGGAGGTCTTACTGGCGGTCACCCGCCCTCGGTTCGGTATGTCTCTGCTTTCTGCATTGTTGACTTTATTGTGCAATATATTAATAACTGCAGCTCTCGCAACATTGCCATCTTCAGCGTGATCGGAATGATCGCTGGTGGTTGGATGTTCTTCCGCGCACAGTCACCAAGCAAGGAAGAGAAGCTGTACTCGCAAAAGGATATCCATACCATGGTTGGCGGACAGACGGGCGAGAACAGAGTTGGTCGTGCACCGAGCCATCAGAAGAAAGGTTGATTTAACGTGTGGAATGGTATGTCTGATCAAGGGTGTATAATATCAATTGAAAGGGCATGATGGAGGCGTCTGGTGTTACGGGCTTTATTGTCTGCATATCAACTGTTGTCTTTCTTTTTCATGTACTATGATGATAATGTTATTATGTCTATGGAATGGATGCATATCTGTCATGAAGAATATGACTGCAGCTGTGTGCTTTTTCTGTCCTACATCGCCTCGAGCCGCAGTGATGCCCAACCCCGCTCGCCACCGTCTCAGTGCAATTAGAGTTATCCACTTTTGAATGTTTCACAGCAGTAGTGGTAACGGGGATGTGCCTGTCTCTAACGGATGACATCCCAAGAGCTCTTCGCGCAGGCCATCTGGCTGTCACAATCATTTCTTATTTTCTTGCCTCAGGCTCCGCAATAAGCGTCATGATCCGATCAGCTAACCTTCTCCGGTTAGACGGTGTACCGAATGGGATTAGTGCAGTGCTGAGGGCTGACATCCGCACTCCCACTTGGCCGAATTGGGAAAGCCCGCGGTTTTCCCAGGCGATGATGGCTGGCTGACTTCTTCCGATCATCGAGGGTATGCACATCGCCTATACGCTCCATCGTTGAAACCGGTTGTTGTTACCACCTTATTATGAATTAAGAGATGTATAGTCACTGTTTATACTTAGGTAAACATTGTCTACTGGCGATCGTCAGATGATAACATCCGCCACTGGCTCAACTCGGGGTTGCAACAAATTTATATACTATCACTAGTACTCCTCCCGTGAGTCGGCAGTATTAGGAGTTCGATCCAGTGCTACTTCTTCTGGATGATTAAAGCGACAGACAACATAGTATAATGTGAAAGCATATGCATTCTCACTGCACTAGTAGTTACTGGCACAAGGCATTGCAAAGAGTGGCCTCTCTCCCCGACGCATCCGCCATGCATTAGTCGAACGAAACAAATCCCAGCAATCCTTGACGCTCCATCCCCACAATTGAAAGAAAGTCTCGGTAATCTCCTAGCCAGCAGGATCCCAGGGGTCTTTCCACACAATCACTCCCGTTTCTCCTATCCCCGTCTGACATCTACGCCCCGCCCGAAGTACCTGAGAGTGGTAGCCGCACATATCCCGACACATTTGGCCATCGTCCATCAGATTCTCCATTAGAATCAGGTTGTCGCGCATCCTAGATATGGGAATGAGGTCAAGCCAGGGATGATGGGGTACAGTGCGTTGAATCTCTGTGGGCTGTAATGCAGGTGGCAGGAGAGCCTCCCGACCGATTGTTGCTAGACATCGTGGTCCAATCATGGCGAACATTGACAGCGCCTCATCGGCAGCCATATATCTGGCATCATAACCCAGAATATCAATGTTGGTGTACAATGCGCGCAAGATGTTTAACCGAGTTACGCCCAACCGCATATCAGCCTGTAGTGAGCCAGTTGCAAACTCAACATGCACCATAGCCTCGAGTTGCTGCAGGATACTGCGGGAGTCTGCGGCAAGCGGACCAAAGATACGGAGTTCATCCAAACATCGAAAATCGAGTTGACAGGGCGTCGACGCCGTTGTAGACCACGCGTGAGGATAGTATGGCCCAGATCTTTCGGGTAGCGCTTTAGTCAAGTGCTGACGGCGCCCTATCTGGATCGTCAGCCAGCCCACTCGGCAGAGACTCGTTCGCCAACCTACTTCGGGCCCTCTGATTTAACCTGTTCTGCAACCTGCGCCTTTTCTTCGGATCAGTCACACCGATCCACACATCCTCGAGTCTAAGTTGAATCTGCTGCGGCAGTGATGTTGGAGTCGCGGTGAGCAGCCGTATGTCCACCTACTGCTTCCCGCATGGCGGATCCACGTAGAGATGCGACGTACAAGATGAGTGGTAGCACTGCTCGAACTGACACTTAGAGGACGCTATAATGCTCTGTTGGAGGGGCAGACACTGGTTTGCGACGATGGTTTTCGCTTTCCACCGTTATCGCCGATCTTATGTCCGGCCCATGTCATCCGCCGTCCCACGGCTTGGCTCTATGCCTATCGTTCTTATAGGTGGCATGCTCCTAGTTCAGGTTGTAGGCAGTGGAAATATTGTATGCGACGACGACATTGAAATATTATGGCAATTACCAGACCGTCCTTCACATCAGATTGGTACCTGCTGGGCATTATGACGGACCACATTTCAAGGCGCATATTCTGACATCGTACCGCTCGGCGGGCGGATTGCTTATTGCTTGACTCGCTATTATATCAGAACTCCTTGCTTTTTTGCATTTGAGACCAACAGAGAGCCGAGGATTGTTGAACGGCCTTTCCCTTACTGCACTCAAGTTCACACAGCAGGTGAGGTCGGTGCAAGGGATGCATTACCCAAAGAACAAAAAGTGAGACCGATGAGCATAGCTATAATGCAACCTCGGCTCATACACCCCAAAAGTGGTACTCGACTCGCCCATCCCAGTTTAATTTGGGGGAAGAGTTGCTTTTGTCGTCTGACTTTTGAGCAGCGCGATCGGCAAAAGTTCTGGCAACCGACTTCAATTACTCAAGAAAGTATCCTTTAGAAAATCAACCAGCCAACTGTCTGTATATATGCAGCTTTGGGTTGAAAATGGCCAGCTGACCGGGACAACAGGGCGATCGGCATTGACCGCAGCTGAAGGTTCTGCTATCGCTCGCTCGGACACCATCTGGCGCAGAACGATCCAATCAGGAGAAAGATGCTTCTTCTTCCTTCCAAGTGTAGGTGAGCCATGGCCATATTTATTCTTTCCACAATGCTTGTCGTGTATTGGCCTTGTCTTGGGAGCATCCGCTGGAATTCTCACCCCCCATTTTTGTCTGGACTAAAACTGTTAAGGCTGGCGTCCGCGGCCACTGGCCAGACCTTCTCTCTTGGGATAATACTCCGTACGTCTGGGCACAAGAATCCACGCACTGACTGTGTTCGTCATCGCTGGGCCTCGTCCAGACCATGCCACTGTGGATGCAAGAGGAGTATATATCTGTAAACGTGATGTCAGAGTAGTTGTGGGGACCATGTAAACTCTAGTAAAAGAGACAAATATGACATCTTATCACCTGCCAGCTCCCTACATCTCAGTGTTGCCTTAGCTGCATTCTACTAACCAGGATGTCGGCTGATAGGAACGTAAGTCCTGAATCGGGGCACTACCCCAGTCCAACACACTAATCCGCATTTTTTCACTCTAGAAGGGAGCAAATCGGCGTGAATCGATCACACGATTGCCACCCGCTGCAGGGAGTGACAAGGGCATGAGCGCGATGGCTCCCGGGAGAATACCTCTTGAAAAGCGGGGAATGGAGTAGCCATTAGCCCTGATCAGGATTCGGAGACTCGCGGCCAATAAGCTGAACTCCGATAATAGATAAACGTGCTAACAAGCTTGGAGGAGATGGTTGATCGACCATCGATTAGCTTCCATCCTTAGCTCCATCCTGGCCCCTCAGCGCTGTCGGCGATAAGGCCAGTCAACGCGGTGCTCCAGCACGCCATCCAACGCCAAAACACAGAATCAACGTCGGACCACCTTAATAAATACCTTTAGTATGGAAGACGCAAGAGTTGACCCCAATGGTGTTTGGTAGGGCTCGTCAACCCTGAATGATTGCTGCCTGCCACATGGCGACTGCTCTGGCTAAAACTTTGCGTGGGATTCCAGAACTGCGCCGGAATATGCACAATGGCCATCCGGTGTCGGGCGCTCCGATGCCACCATTGAGAGTGGATATGACTCGTGGACTGAGCGGCATGTTATCACAAACCTTCACGGTTGGTGACACTGCATCCGCTAGAGCTTCACGGTCGGTCTTGGCCTGCTGGGGTTAGGAGCAAGGGAACCAATCTGCTAAGCGTCTCCCCCGATAGGATGGTGTGCTTCACCTGCGGGTTGTTATCATTTACGGTGGGACTATCGCCAGACTGCAGCTACTCCTGCTACTTTTGTGGTACCTGCTCGATCGTTGTGACAGATAAGATGCAGGTATCCGCGGGGTCTATGGGCGCTTCTAGGTAATATTATTGACCTCGGTGCATATCTCCTACAAAGGCTTGCTCATTCGGTCGCTCCTGCGCCAAACGTTGTCCTCTTTGTTACTCAGGAGGCAGCAGGCATGGATTCGGTTCATCATCCAGAAAATGAGGCCAAAGATGCCATCGAGACTAAGCAAGCTGGTGTTACCGACGTGGACGCCGAGCTGCTCGAGGAGAATGATGACCTGAAAAGGCAGAACATTATCGCCGAACAGAAGGAGCTTACTCCTCTCGAGGCCTTCAAGTGGAACGTTGAGGGGGACCAATCGCCCTGTGAGCATTGCTGGCCTGTTTGACTGATATTGTTCTTTACTGATAGCAGGTGTGCAGTTCCAGAAGTCGCCGCCTGTGTGCCAAACACTGATGATCCTACCTTACCGTGCAACAGTCAGTCAATCCCGTCCAGGCGAATGGAAGGGGTGTACTGGCCAACATACTGATGTGACACAGCATTCCGGGCATGGGTTCTGACCACGATATTCGTTATGGTCTTCGCGGCAGTCAATCAATTTTTCAGTCTACGATATGTACGTGCGAACCTCCATTCCTAAGTTGTGTCTGGAACTAACTGTTTAGCCATCCCTCACTGTCCAATATGTTGTCGCTCAGTTACTCGTCTACCCCATCGGACGAGGATGGGAGAGGCTGCCGCGATGGAGGATACCTCTTGGAAGATTGTCCTTTGACTTGAACCCGGGGCCGTTCAGCATCAAGGAGCATGCCCTTATTACCATTGTAAGGGCCATCAAGTCTACTATGGCGTTTGTACCCCAAAGTCTAATTGAACCAGTGTGTGAACATCAGTGCCTCAATTGCTTATGCCTCCGGCTCCCTCGTAGCCATCGTTATGCCGCATTATTGGGGCAAGGACTACGGGGCGGGATTCTCATTCCTATACCTCTTGACATCGCAAATGATGGGGTAAGTGTCCTATTGTACTTTTCACCAGCACGCCTGCCTGACAATATAGGTTCGGCCTTGCTGGAATGTGCCGGCGTTGGCTCGTCTACCCTGCGGCCTTGATCTGGCCTCAATCTCTGTCCTCCACGGTCTTGTTTCGCGCCCTGCATGAGCCACAAAATACGGCACCCGCCAATGGTTGGAGACTGAGTCGGTATAGCTTCTTTGGGTACGCGACTCTGTTTGCCTTTGCCATCTACTGGTTCCCCGACTACATCTGGACAACTCTTAGCGCGTTTGCATTCGTCACTTGGATCGCACCGCACAACCAGAAGGTCAACACTATCTTTGGTGTAAGTCTTCCATACAGTATATTTTCATGGGCTTGCTGACATGGGTAGATGAACTCGGGTCTGGGGCTGCTGCCGCTCAGTCTAGACTGGACGCAGATTAACTACGCCGGATACCCTCTCATGACCCCTTTCTACATTACCTGCAATGCCTTTGCCGTGGTAGTCTTTTTCTACCTCTTCCTCTCCCCAATCCTATACTACAAGGATGTCTGGTTTAGCGCATAGTGAGTGTCCAACCTTGAATACACATGAAGATGTCTGTTAACAGCATGCTCAGCCTGCCTTTGCTCTCTTCTTCCACCTTCGACAACACCGGAAGCGAATACAATGTGACCCGAGTCGTCGACTCTAACGGGGACTTTGTCCTCAGTAAATACAAAGAGTATTCGCCAATGTATATTTCCATGTCGTACTCGCTCACCTACGGCTTGTCCTTCGCGGCGGTGACAGCTATCGTGGTTCACACCTACCTTTACAACGGATCGGAGATCTGGGCCAAGTTCAAGAACGCTCGTCACGGTGGTGAAGATATCCATCGTCGCTTGATGCGTGCTTACCCTGAGGTCCCGGACTGGTGGTACGGCGCATTGTTCGTTGTCATGGCGGGCCTGGGAATCCTCACCACGAAGTATTGGGAGACGGGTTTGCCGGTCTGGGGTTTCATCGTGGTGTGCTGCGGAATGGGCGTGGTCCTCATTGTACCAGAAGGCATCCTCGAGGGGACAACAAACCAGCGCATCTTTCTCAATATTATCACCGAGCTGATTGCCGGTTACGCCTGGCCGGGCAAGCCCATCGCCAACATGATGGTTAAGTGTTACGGGTATAATGCCGTCAAACACGGGATGGACTTTGCTCAAGACCTCAAAATGGGGCAGTACATGGTAGGTCTAGCCGATAGATCGCAGGTTGCAAGTATTAACGGGTCTAGAAAATTCCTCCCCGTGTTCTGTTCTTTGGACAGATATATGCCAGTGTCCTCGCCACAATGACTCAGACAGGAGGTAAGAATATCAATACCTAGCAATAAGCTCAAGCTGATTGGGGGCAGTGCTCCGCTGGATGATGGGAAATATTTCCGGGCTATGCGACACCGACAATGCCCAGCGTTTTACCTGCGCCGGCGCCAAGGTGATGTACAACGCCAGTCTGATCTGGGGTACCATTGGACCACAGCGGATGTTCCAGTCCGGGCAAGTCTATCACTCGTTGATGTACTTCTTTCTCATCGGTGTATGTTTGACCTGCTCCTCATATATTGTATGATTGCTAATAGATTCAGCCCGTGGTGACGGTGATTGTGTACCTGATCTACCGACGTTATCCGCAGAGTTGGGTCAAGTATATAAACGTACCCATTTTCTTCAACGCTGCAGGAAATATCCCTCCTGCCAATACTAGTTCGTTTGCTCCTTCATACCATCCGAGCATACAAAGAAGTGCTAACATGGCTCAGCACAATACTCTCTCTGGTTTATCTTCGGTTTCTTGTTCAACTACCTCATTCGCAAACGTGCCTTGGCTTGGTGGAAGAAGTACAACTGTAAGTATTCCCCGCCCACCGGTGAAACGATAGCAAGTTCTCAAGGCTTATTCACATAATAGACCTCTTCCAAGCAGCCATGGACACCGGTACGGCCATCGCCACCATTGTGATCTTCTTCGCCCTCGGCTACACGAACACCACCTTCAACTGGTGGGGGAATACAGTGGGATCGAACACCGACGATCAGAACTCCGTGCCATGGCTGACGGTGCCTGCCGGGGGTCATTTCGGCAAGGGGCCTGGTGAGTTTTAATAGAAAATGCCCATCAGGGGCACACTGTGGTGGGGTAGCATTGTTGATACACTCCCGACATGAATGCCATAGTGGAAGATGGTTGCCCCGTGGAATTAGTATAACCTTGACATATGTATTCAAACAATGAGATCAATAGTGATTATACAATAAGATGATATGATATGAGTCCGGGTGCCTATCGCCTGGAGCAAGGTTAAGGAGCAAGCAAACAAGATATCAGCGAGATGAGTGGAGGCGTGGGGAGGATGGTAGAAATAGAGCACATTAAAGACGTGATATACTTATGCCCCGATAACCACACAACTACATTATGTATATCCAATACTAAGAATAGATAACCGCCGAGCAATCAGGAACTGCCCTGATCCGACGGAACCGATTCCAGTGACGCTCTGACAACCACATAGATTGATACAAATCATGCCAGCCAATGAAGACTTATCCGTCAGCCGCATGCGTAAGGCAGTGACATCAAATTCTCCTAAACTAAGTGACTAGTTCAACCCACTTTCATCCCTTATCAACATGTCTTGTCTTTGTATACCAGAAAATTTTGTGTGCCCAACGCCTACCCTCGGATATCCTCGGTTGGTGTCGGGAACAGCCACAGTACCGAGCGGCTAGCCGTTGCACGAGCCACAACGCCGAGAGTATCCGCTGTCAAGTCTAGGGAAATTTATCCAGGGCAAACATCATGATTGGCTGCATAGCATCAGGAACGGAGTTGTGGCTGGTGGATCAGGGCCAGAAGGGAGTATCCGTAACGGCGCGCGGAAAAAGATGGATCGGGGGGACAAGGCATTGTTGGTGTCTCGGGCTCGGGATGGGTATGGTGCCATGGCCAGAAGGTGATGGAACAGCTATGAAAACCCTGATAGTGGGTGTTTCTCCAGTATGGCAATGGGGCCCTACGGAAGTGGATTCTTTTTTTCTCTTTCTTGCTGGCTAGTTCGTAGCACGGGGCTCTTTAGTCACTGATACTTATACCTGGTAGTTTCCGTGCTCTTGTCCAAGATGATTGTGAGAAACGAGCGTGTTGTTTCACTCGGTCTGCAGAGTGCAGTGCTATCGGCAAGCCATGGAGCACGTTACCGAACACACCAAAGAAATCTCTCCGATTCATACCTCCGATAGTGAGGATTATTCCGATGATCATCCCGATGAACATCCCGATTCCCTCGAGCTTGCTCGCATCAACACATACCGTCTGCAACAACGTGCTACCGTAGGGTCCACGAGAGGCCCTGAGCCTCGCCAAGAATGGCTGCCCATGGGTGCTGGGAAAGAATATCCGCCTTCGCTTCCTGATCCGGAGAAATATGTCGTCGAGTTTGATGGTGCGGATGATCCTCTTCATCCTTGGAACTGGTCTATCTTGCGGAGGTAAGAAAAATCTGGAGTTGGAATACGTCTGGCCGATATGAAGAACGCATCGCTCATCGCATCCAGGAGTATTCTAGTCACCATCCTCTGCTATTGCACCTTCGCCACAGCCTTCACTAGTGCCGTTTTCTCTGCCGCCGTCAGTGCCGTAAGTCAGGAATACCACGTCGGTCGAGAAGTCAGCACCCTCGGAGTCACATTGTACGTTCTCGGATTCGCTGCCGGACCGACTATCTGGGCCCCGGCCTCTGAACTAATCGGACGACGCTGGCCGTTGTCCATTGGCCTCTTCGGATGCGGTATCTTTACCATTGCCTCTGCCACCGGGAAAGACATTCAGACCATTATGATCAGTCGTTTCTTCGCTGGTCTTTTTGCTGCTAGTCCTGTCTCCCTTGTCCCCGCCGTCTTTGCCGATCTGTTCAGCGCCGCGCACCGTGGAGTCGTCATGTCGATCTTCTGCATGGCAGTGTTTATCGGCCCGTTCGCTGCGCCGTTTGTGGGCGGGTTCATCGCTGCCAGTCCGTTGGGATGGCGCTGGACCATGTACATCTCGGCTATCATGGTTTTTCTTGCCTTCGTGCTGGTGTTCCTCTTCCTCGATGAGTCGTATGCACCTGTCATTCTGGTCCGCAAGGCTGCTGTCCTCCGTCGACAGACCCGTAACTGGGGCATCCATGCCAAGCAGGACGAGGTGGAGGTTGACATCAAGGAGTTGGTTCGGAATAACTTCACTCGTCCGTTGAGTATGCTTATCACGGAGCCGATCCTGCTTCTCATCTCGTTGTACATCTCTTTCGTATACGGCCTTATCTATGCCCTTCTCGGCGCCTACCCGGTCGTTTTCGATGACGTTTATGGAATGAGCGCAGGCGTGGGAGGACTCGCCTTTATCGGTCTTATCCTGGGAGAGCTGGTTGGAGGTGTCTTCATCCTCTGTCTGCAGGGATCCTATAAGCGCAAGCTGGCGGCAAATGGGGGCAAGCCTATTCCCGAATGGCGTCTTCCGGCTGCGATTGTCGGCGCTGTTGCGTTTGCCATTGGCATGTTCTGGTAGGTATCCTCCTTCTTAGTTACCATGCTGGATGGTGCTGACAGTAAGCAGGTTCGGTTGGACCGGATACACAAACAAGATCCACTGGATGGCTCCGACAGCAGCTGGTATCCTGATCGGGTTCGGCATCCTGTGCATCTTCCTGCAGTGCTTCAACTATATCGTTGACTGCTATCCCACTTTGTAAGTAACTTCCTCCTGCCCACCATGACACCGCGCTAACGACAGCAGGGCTGCATCCACCATTGCGGCGAACACTATCCTCCGATCGGCTGTGGGCTGCGTCTTTCCGTTATTTTCACGCCAGATGATGGTCAACTTGGGCGTGCAGTGGGCGGGCACTCTATTGGGGTGTATTGCAGCCATCATGATTCCCATGCCTGTTGCATTCATGATATTTGGGCCGTGGATCCGTCAGCGGAGTAAGCTGGCTGCGTCGCCGGCTCGTGATACGGAGAAGACCTGTAATGCTTGATGTTGTTATGACTGAGAAAACTGTACATAGAATAGATTAATGATGTTATGTTTGCACCAGAAACTATCTCTTGTAGCTCAGGGACATTCTTGAAGACCGGCACAGCTTTTGGGGAACAGGCTTCTCCCGGTCTACCCCTGCTCCGGGGGACCCTAGCCAGGTCGCCATGAGATTCATTCTTATCATCCTGCAGGGGTAAGGATGAGGCTATAGTGCAGTTCCTTGTCTTTCGCCAAGACCAATTCAATACATAAACTAGGAGGTTATACTGGAGTTCGTGGTAGTTGTCAGCTGCTCAAGACGAAAATATATATCTACTAACTGCCACTGCGATTATTATACCGTGATAAACCAGAGCTAAATCGGCAAGCAATTTCAAACACCCCACTGTCTCCGCCACTTATTTGGGACCAGACTGGCCTACAAAGCAGAAATGTAGTAGTATTTGAGAATGCACGGGTTCGTCATGAATGAGAACCCCCACCGAAGTGGTTGCTGAATTGAGATGGTCAGCATGCATGGGACACGGCAGACAGAGAGTGAAGGGATCCACTTTGGCTTGCACAAGCTGATCCTGCTGGCCCCCAATCCATTGATTTCATGCGCTGGCCGACTTTAGCTCCTCCACTCACTACGATGATCCAAGTCACCTGGATTGCTGATTGGAAGGAGCAAAGAACACCTAAATTGCGCCTCAACACAAGCCCTCCTCTACTTAAGATAACGGAGAGTCAAAATGTCGATTTTAAACCACTTCCCCCACTTGATTGGGGAGCTTGTTTTTTTCTGTTTCTGCGTCACTCTGCTCCTCTGTCACGATTGAACTCATTCATTGATTTTTCTCATCATTGCTGGGAACAAAAGCATTGCAACCATGCCACCCTTTGAGAAGCTTCGGAAAATGCACAGCCCTTTCCCGGGCTCCTTTCGCAGTAGGCGCACTCCCCTGTCTATTACCACACACAACGACGTCGGTTTGGTGTTCTGCGGTTGCTACAAAAGACAGCGACTGACCAACAATCCCTGCAGGTGAATGTAACAAAGCCGGCCAGATTCTAGACGCCTTTACAAATCCTATGAACCCGGACGGTCGTGACAGTCTCATTCCCCCGAAGATTCTCGGAGCTGCCAAGGCAAGTGGCATTACGACGGTCGCAAATAAACCCCACGCCATAGACTAACCGGTCGAGTGCAGGGCTTCGCAATATTCTCCGTCTCGAAACTGGGTATCGTTGGATCAGTACGAATGGGCTCGGGCATCTTAATCGCCCGTCTCGAGGAGGGCGACTGGTCTGCGCCTTCGGCCATTCTGACAGCGGGAGTTGGAGTAGGGTCCCAGGTGGGCTTGGAGGTGACCAACTTCGTCTTCGTCCTCAACACAACCAGCGCCGTTCGCACATTCGCCCAGCTGGGGAGTTTATCCCTGGGCAAGACTGCCTCATTTGCCATGGGCCCATCAGGGAGGTTTGGAGAAGTCAACGGGGTGGTCAGTGCTGGTGGAATGGCAGGCATTTTCGTCTACGGTCATAATCAGGGCTTCTTTGGGGGCTTCAGCACCGAAGGGAGCATGATCTTTGAACGCCGCGGCGCAAACCAGAAGCTGTACGGGAAGAAGGTCAAGGCGCGCGATTTGATCGAGGGCCAGTTCCCACCCCCAGATGAGGCAGACGAGTTGATGCGCGTGTTGCGCTCCGATCTTTTTGCTCCTCGACCAGAATTGTACGCGACCTCCTCGGCATCCACCAAAGGCTCCATCTCGTCCGGACGGCCGTCACAGTCATCTGCAGGAACGGATATCCAGAAGATGCCCATTGAGATGCCCGCCGACGAGATCGTCCAGTTACCCGCCGAACTGCCCGCCGAATTCATCGCCGAGCTCCCAGCAGAGGTGGTGCCAGACATATACTACGACAAATCGGTTGGCTCGTCGGAGACTCTGCTGCCCGAATTGCCCTCCGAGACAGCCTCGCTGCGGCCTGCGAAGAGTTGATCGCATCAAGGAGAGGAACAGTACACATGACAAGGGAACATCACTCAGATGTTGAACTCGGGAGGCAAGGACTCCCTCCCAGCACGGTCGGGGCTGCAGAAATAACGGTGAATAATCCCGGCTGGCCACGATCGGACCTCTCATCACAGCAGCATGCATGGTACGCACAGGAATAATACCCAGGAAAGGGACCTCAATCTCGCAACTGATGGTTGCTGTTGGATCGTCCCAAGTAACATTCCCCTGAGGCAAGCAAGAGTGAGTGCTGGCGCGCATGGGAGGATTGGGGAGCAAGAAATTGACACGCGGCGAGTAAGCTGGAACAGCGACTCCTACAGTATTATCCTAGCTTGATATATAGCAGTGAAAGTAATCATACACAGTGTGATGGTGGTTGCGGGACAAACAGAGAAATCAGTAATCGGTGCTGGTTGTGTTACTATCAGGCGTCGGTGAAAGATCCGCCAGACGCGACCGTGGGTTTCAATTCTCCTTCTGTCAGTGTCTCGGACCGCGCCCGATTCCTCTTTCTCTCCCAACTCAACCCAATCAGTCTCCAAACATCATACCCTCTGTTCCGCCAGATTTATTCTAAAGAAAACCTCTCAGGGATGGCGATGTCACAAGATGGATGATAGTGGCACGTATCCCCGTAGCTGCATCCCCTGCAACCGCCGCAAGGTCCGATGCGACCGGAAGTTTCCCTGCGGTCGATGTGTCAAGGGCAGCGAACAATGTGTCTTTCCCGGTCCTAAACGAGCACCGCGACAGCTGAAACGCCCCCCAATCGCCGAGGTGCTGGCCCAGCTGCGACACCTGGAGCAAGAGGTCCAGCTCCTGCGCGCCCAAGCTCAGCAACCTGCGGAGGCTGGATCGGCTTCTAGCTCGTCTCCACTCGGCCATTCCCAGGAGGAGGCCGCTGGCCCACTGGAACCAGGCCGGCTGGTGGTCAAGCAAGGTAAAAGTCGTTATGTCGGGGATGCGCCCTCGGCCGTGCTGGGGAACAAGGTGAGATCTCCCTTCCTCGTATAATCCTGTTCTACTCCCCACAGGAGTCCTGACGGGTGTGTTCGTGACCACCATAGATCCGGGAACTACAGGACATCTGTGATGCATCATCCTCCGAGGATGAACTGGAGACCCCGCAGGCATCCGGCTTGCACTTCGCCAGTAGCCTTGGGGGCAACTGGCAGGATCACAGTTTACGAGACACCTACCTGCAGCCGGACCAGATCCAGCGCTTATGGCAAGTCTACAAAAATAATGTAGCTCCGCTACTCGGCGTTCTGCACGTACCGTCTGTGGAGATCATAGTTCGTGAAGAGTCTGAGAACATCAATCCGGACCCTTCACGCGAAGCACTCATTCTGGCTGTGTGCTTTGCTGCCATCGTAACCATACCCTCAGGTCAGTGCTTGGACTTGGTGGGTCTTGATTGCGAGAAGGCTATTCAGAGCTACCAGCTCGCCGTTGACCAGGCTTTGGTCAGAGCCAACTTCATCAAATCTCAGAACATCAGTGTTCTGCAAGCTGCAGTGATCTTCTTGCTCTGCCTTCGCTGGAGGGGGGATGCTAGACTCGTCTGGGCGGCGTCTGCCGTCGTTGTTCGTGTGGCTCAGGGACAGGGCGTCCATCGCGACGGCCAACGCCTCGGACTCAGCCCGTTCGACTCGGAAATGCGGCGTCGCTTATGGTGGCACATTTGTGTCCTGGATATGGTGTGCTCCGAGGATCAAGGAACTGACACCCAGATCCATCCAGGCATGTTTGACACTCGTCTCCCCCATAATATTGACGGGGAAGATCTGGCTCCGTCGATGACTGAGCTGCCACCGGAAAAATCTGGCGCCACTGATATCACGCTCCTCATTATTCAGTGCGAGCTCATCTCGGAACTCAACTGGCCAAATCGACGTAATGGTGCAAAGGACCCAGAATCCTCGGCCGATCAGGAACCGCTAGTTACCACTGTAGCGAATCGTCTGGAGAATCGGTATTTGCAACACCTGGACATTAACATCCCAATCCAATGGGTTTATGCCATGATCATTCGATTGACCCTGTCAAAGCTGTGGCTGTACGCTCATTACAACAAAATCCCCAGCCATGGGTCTCAATCCGAATGCTCGCAAGCCGCCTGCGATGATGCCTTTCGGGCGGCGGTCGAAACCATCAAATTTACCATTCTGCTGCATACCAACGAGAGTACTTCGCACTGGGCGTGGTTGTGCAAGACGTATAAACAATGGCACACGGTCGCGTTCATTCTCGCCCAGCTGTGCAACCGCCCGATCACGGCTGAAACCGATCATGCGTGGCAGGTGGTGACGGAGATCCAGCGGCAATGGGAGCAGGATGGCTCGCCTCAGAGTGTCATGCTCCGAAAGCCGCTCAAGCGGTTGATGCAACGGACAGCTTCAACTAGGGCAGCCAAAATAGGTGTATCGCCAGGCTCCTCTCTGGGCACGGAGGTTAAGGATGACGATAGCATGGGTTCGGAGTTGATGTCTTTGAATACCAACCCTGTTCCAGGCATGGAGATCTCACAGGTTCCCAAGGATCAAGGTTCTATTCCATCAGATGTCTATTCGCTAGGAATGGCTGGTTTTAATATCTCGGGCATGGAGTGGCTGTGGGAGCCATTGCTGTGACGGGCGGGCTCCCAATGCCTTGGAAGGAAGTATTTGGTCGGCGTAAATCAAATGTAAATAATAACTCGACATATAATATCAATATAATTTTATGTAAACGGATTTGTAACGTGTATGTGAAGTCGGGTTGTGGAGAAAGCGGTCATGGAATATGGTCATCATGTACTCTTAGATGTGTCACGGTCGGGGTGGCGATCCCCCTCGGCATTGATCTCAAACCCGACCCTCGTCCACTTTTAGTCAGGCTTCAATGTCTCTCTTACTAACCTCGGTCCCAAATGAAGCCGATATACGAGCGGTATTTTGTCATTCATCTCGGACATTGAAGCCGAAAGGGATATGAAAGAGACATCAAGCTTGGTCAGCTGCTGTGGGTGGCCCAGGGACATATAATGGAGGCTTGCCCCGGGTCAAATCCATGCAGCCGAAGTCATCCATTAGCAATTACTCCAGCAGACTGAAAGCAATACGAACCCAACGAACCCAACGATTCATCGACATCTCAAAGCAAAATGTCCAAGATCATCACTGTCTTCGGTGCCACTGGCCAACAGGGCGGGTCCGTCATCCGCACGATGCTCAACGACCCCGAACTTTCCAAGGAATTCAAGATCCGCGGTATCACCCGCGATGCTAGCAAACCAGAAGCTCAGGCATTGGCTAACCAGGGAGTCGAAATCCAAACTGTAAGGCTTGACGTCTCCACCCCCACCGCAAACCCACTCTAACAGACCATCTAGGCGGACATGAACTCCAAAGACTCTATCCGGAACGCCCTTGAGGGCAGTCACTCTGTCTTCCTAGTGACCACTCCCGCCTGGGGTATTGCTGGTTCTGATGCAGAATTAGTCCACGGCAAGAATGTTGCCGACGTGGCCAAGGAGTTGAACGTCCAGCATCTCATTTTCTCTTCTCTGCTCAATGTGACAGAGACCACAGCCGGACGTCTCAAGAATGTCCCTCACTTCGATCACAAAGCCCAGGTCGAGCAGTATATTCGCTCGCTGGGAGTTCCGGCTACCTTTGTCTTGCCAGGGTATTTCATGACCAATTACTCTGTTGTTGGTCTTCTGCGGAAGGGCGAGAACGGGGTATGGACTCTTGCTTATCCTATTGGAAAGGAGTCTAAGTTTCCGTTGATTGATATTGCGGGTGATATGGGTATGTGATCTCTAAGCCATTTGCTCTAGCATGAGTGCCTTGACTGACAAGTTATGTAGGCAAATACGTCGCCGCCTCTTTGAAAAATTGGCCAGAGACACTCGGCACTCAGATCCTCGTGGCGGAGGATTACTACACTCCTACTCGCATTCTCGAAGAATTCGAAGCGGTGACAGGACAGAAGTCCCAGTTTGTGCAGGTCGATCCCGAAACGTACAAGTCATTCATGCCGGGTCCAATGGGTCAGGAAATGCTGGAGAACCACCTCTTCACTGGAAATCCGGGTTACTTCAATGGTCGGAGTCTCAACGAGAGTAAGGGTTTGGTGGCTAAGGTGGGGTATAAGCTCACCAGCTGGAAGGAATTCTTGCAGCAGAACAAGGCTTCGTTTGCTTAGTCTACCTGCGTTCTCTAGTCAGAGCTCAGTGGTGTAGTCGTCAAATTACCTAGGATGGGGTTAGCTTGAATCTTGTGTAATCATATTATCGTGATATAATAATCGGATGGTTTTGGGATGGCCTAAATCATTTTTCTTATTTGTTTGAGCGACAAATCACTCGTAATCTTGGCGGCTGGTGGCGTAGTTAAAATACTTGACGCCGGTGCCGGATGTTACCTAATTTGATAGCTACAATTAGAGTACTGCACTTGCATCTTTATCGGGGACGATCTTCTAGACCTCAACGTCAGCAGCTTCCTGGTCTGCTTGGCGAATAACGGCGTGCATCAGACCAATTGAGCGGGGCGGGCTATACAGAGCACGCCTTCACATCCCGCCTTGATGCCATGCCTGCAGGTCGCCGATAAGACATCGCCGAACGCGCTTTCCTCCCATGGCCTTAATGTTGCTTGACTCTTATGACGGTCCTAGGTTCTAATATCAATTTCTATCGCTTGATGAATCCTTATTACCCTGAAAGATCGATAGGATGGATACGCCCAAGGATAATAGTAAAGGCCCTATTGATAGGGTCTCATCTGTAAACGAGCAGCTATCGGATGAGATACGGCCGGAGGATGAGAGGGCACTGGTATTATTTCCAGTCCACAACATCGGAAATGTGTGCATCGACTGACCGATTCTAGGTATGGCGACTCGACTGCTTCTTCCTCGTCGTGGGGTTTCTGGGATATGCATTCAAGTACCTGGACCAAACGAACATTGTTAGTACCCGCATGCATCACATCAACAATGTGTACTTATCATCGGCAGAGCAATGCCTATGTTTCTGGTATGGAGACAGATCTCGAACTCCTTGGTAACGAGTACAATTATTTCACGACCTTCTTCAAGTATGTCATCACCTCTGACTCCTGGCAATTCTGACTCCATCAGTATCGGATACATGATTATGCTCTACCCATCATGCATCATTATCTCCCACATCGGGCCAGCTATATGGCTGCCAGCATGCGAAGTAAGTTTTCTTCAGATAGGGTATACATATAGCTAACCAACGAAATAGGTTCTATGGGGTATACTCACCTGTTGCTTATCCACTGTCACGTCTGCTAAACAGGTATTTACCCCGAGCGTTTCAACAAGCATCGGCACAACTAATCGGTTAGGTGTATGGCTTGCGTTTCCTCATTGGCTTCTTTGAAGGTGCGACGTGGCCTGGCTACTTCACCATTATCAGGTAAGTCGCTGAATCTTCTAGAGAATCAAGTAGTGAAACTATTAACACGCAAAGTCAATGGTATCTCCCGCACGAGATGGCCTTGCGTATGAGCTTGTATAACATGGCTCAGCCAGTTGGGGCTATGCTTTCGGGTGCCATGCAGGGTGCAATGTCAACCAATCTGGAAGGTGTCATGGGGCGAAGTGGTTGGAGATGGGCATTTATCATAAACGTATGTTCGTCCTGATTGTATACTCGAGATGACGAAGCTGACTGGTTCATATCCCGGGTAGGGAGTTTGCACCATATTCATTGCTTTGTTGGCATTTGTCATCCTGCCTGGCTTTGTGAGAATCCCCAGCTCTTCGTGTGGGACACCCTGCTAAGTGACTATAGCCCGAAAGGCAAAATCCATTGTCCAAGATCTATCTCAGGCCACAGCATATTAGTATGTAAAGATTATAGGAGTTGTGGAGAGACTCGCTAAACTCTTACAGAGACTGCCATTGCACGTACACGCCGCGTGGGCCGGAAACCGCAGATCGGCATCCAGATCAAAAGCTTTCTGCGTTGCTTCAAATTCTGGCATTTATGGTTGTTCGCCAGTATGCCTCCACCTCACTCTACTGTAACACGCATAACTGATCTTGACACAGTCGCGTGGGCAATCGGCACCGGCACAACGCCAACGAGCTACTTCAACCTCTGGCTCAAGTCGTTGAAGAACCCTGATGGATCCGCTAAATAGTATGTGTTCCTCACCATTGTATGCATCCAAGTCTGATGAAATATAGCTCCGTGGCCATGCTCGACTACCTTCCGATCGCTGGTCAAGCAATCCAACTTGTCGCTGAAATCCTTTTCAGTGGGTTTAGTGACTATTTTGGAGTCAGACTGCCATTCCTCCTCTTGCATTCGGTGAGTCGCACCTGAGTAAGCACTGCTCAGTACTGACCAAGTTTAGGTGATCAATATAGTATCACTCATCATCCTGACGATCCAACCGAGCAATGAGCACACTTATATGGCTGGGTGGTATATGGACTATATTGGAGCGTAAGCCTCACCCATCCGAGAGGTAGGGATATCTAGCTGATTTCTATCGTTTAGGGTCTCGACAATGCTGTTGTGTGCGTGGGCAGCTGCCCATTTGGAGACGGAGCCAGAAGTTCGCACCGTTTTGTTCGCCACCGGAACCCTCTTTGCGTATTTGCTAAGTGCCTTCCTTCCCATAGCTGCATATCCAGCCTCGGAAGCTCCTCACTGGCGTATTGGAGCAAAGCTGTATCTCGGTCTTTCATGCTTGGCAGCGGTGTTGTTCGTTTGCATCCATTTTGCCTTTAAGTGGGAGGAGCGGAGAAAAGCTAAAACCCGCCAAGTTGACGATTGGAATGTGACCGCAGACGAACATGAAGTCAGTGAAGGGAGGGTTTAGGGGTAGAACGGAGATTCTGAAGAGCTGAATAAACCAGCTCGTGACCTCCGTGGCAGCTTGGCAATTAGAATGTCTACCACGACGCTAATCGATCCTTGGCCCTGCAACTTTTCATCACTCACGCAAACCGCCATGTCTCCTTTCTTCGGCTTTCGGCGTTTAGAAGTGGCTGAAGGAGACTATCTCCAGTCTGCAGGGCTTGGCTAGTCATATCGCTACGTTACACGTAGTAGCTTCATGGTTAACGCCGATTTCCGACCTCGAGCTTTCCCCGCAAATGAAAATCCATCCATTAGCATAATTTCTTTTGCTATGACCTGATAAAGCATCTATAGTCTCGAGAATTGCTTCCAATGTCGCCATCGATACCAAATTTGCATCATTGCTTTGAGAATACTTTAGGTCCTACAAATCTCCCTAGGAGCAAGAGCACTCCCATCAATGTAGCCGACGGTTTAGTTACAACGTCCTCAACTCGGGATGATGGCCGACGACGACACCATCAAAGGCCTGTCCGTTGAGGCAGAGAGCTCCCGAACCGATGATACGGAGCTGACTCCACAGGAGCAGCGACGGGTTATCCGTCGAGTTGACGCCCGATTGATTGTCATGCTGGGGTTCCTGCACACCGTATCGCTGCTTGACCGGGGAAACCTGTCTACTGCAGCGGTTGCGGGAATGGAGAAGGAATTGCACCTCCAGGGTAATCAATATGTGAGTTTTTTTTACCGCTGAAGAAACATGTCTATACTAACACAGTCGCATAGAATATCATTGCTGTCGTGTTCTTTCCTCCCTACATCTGTCTGCAAATGCTGGGTCCAGTGCTGATTCGCAGGCTGGGCCCGAAGATCTTCCTTGCGGGCATTTGCTTTATCTGGGGTATTGCTATGGTAAGATATCACTGGAACACCCCTCCTGACGAAGAGCTAACCTGTCAGATGTGCGGTGGATTCGTCCACAACTGGGCTCAACTAGCTGGCATTCGAATAATCATCGGAGCCTTGGAAGCAGGGTTCTTCCCCGCTGCTGTCTATCTTATTGCGACCTGGTACACCCGCTATCAGATGCAGAAGCGATTTGCCATCTTCTACCTGCTCGGCTGTGTGGCATCGGCGTTCACCGGTATTCTATCTTATGGCATCACGTTTATGGTTCGCAAGCACTCCTCATTAATGGTGTTCCTACTAACAACTAGCTTGAATAGAACGGCCTGGGCGGCCTCACAGCATGGCGCTGGATTTTCGTCATCCAAGGCCTCCTCACCTGCACACTCGCAGCAATCAGCTACTTCGTGCTAATCAATTTCCTGGATCGTATGCGATCAAACAAGAGTCGATTCCTGTCGGACCGAGAATACGACTTCATTACTCACCAGATCAACGACGACCGCGGGGACGTGAGACTCGAGCCGTTCAATCTGAAGAAGTACCTTGTCGCTGCACTGGACATTAATATCTGGGGATTTGGACTAGTGTACTTCTGCACTACATCCACTGCCTATTCGATCGCATATTTTTTGCCTCTGATATACAGGCAGGGAATGGGATTTTCGATGGGAGCATCGTTGTGTCTCTTCGCTCCACCGTACGTGGCTGCGGGGATCACCATGATGGCAACGTCGTGGATTGGAGACAAGTATCGGCTGCGGGGACCAATTATTGTCTTCAATGCCATGTTGGCGTTGATCGGGTTGCCTTTGATGGTCAGTTTCTCCTCTACCCAATGTAGTGGTAAACACGGCTGACAAGACTAGACCTTCACCAAGGGCAACGGGCCACGACTGGTTGGGTGTTTCCTTACTACCATGGGAGCCAATTCGAATGTTCCTGCTGCTATGGCATATCAGGTAGGATTCTACATCCCTCTGATCGTAGTATCATTGCTGATAGTCATTAGGCAAACAATGTCCGCGGTCAGTGGAAGCGAGCGGCCTGCAGCGCCATCTTTGTCGGTCTCGGTGCGTCAGGCGGCATGGTCGGGTCTCTTGTCTTTCGGTCTCAGGATGCCCCGGAGTATCGGCCGGGAATGCTTACCTGTATTGGATTGCAGGCTGCTGCAATAGTGCTGGTGGGATTGTTGACCATTCGATTGTATCTGCGCAATCGTCGCGTGGATCGGGGAGAGTTGGTTATTGGAGATCTGCCGGGGTTTCGGTATACTTATTAGCCTGTTAACCGAGAGTGCTGTTTAGCTCATTTCATATTCTGGTCTTCAATGCATGAAGTCGTTGGTATTATGCTCACTATCGAATTATACGTGAGAGAATGACGTTGCAATTGCTCTAAATAGAAGTACAATGGTCTAATGCAATGCATGTATGCTCAGCCATCCAAATATGCATTCAAATATCCCTTCACTGTCCGCTTCACCCATAAGCCCGGTCTAAAGCCTTGCGTCCACCCCCGTCCTGAACGGTTCGCTTCGCGTACCTTCCAGAATAATGAGCCCTGTAACAATCATTAGCCGCAGCTCTCACTCCAGTCGAAGAATAAGTCAACATACGTCATATACACCCCGTACATCTTCCTTCCAGACCTTACCGTCTTTCTCGATCAGCAACCATGTGGTGCCCCATTCGAATAAGGCGGCTCCCCACTAGACTCCGTGTCAGTTACATTTATCTTTTGCGCGAAAGGGAGAGATAAGAGAGATCATACACCAAACGGATCAGCCGCGCATCTGTTCCCGTGCATCATATCAAACAGCTCCCGCAATGTCAATGCCCCGTCACCATCTCGATCATATTTGGCGAACATATTCTCGAAAGATTGGGGAACGAAGCGTCCTTCGGGGTCGTAGGTATTGCTGTCCGAGCCGTGCTATTGATCCATATCATTAGCCGTCATCTTCCGTACAAGCTGTAATTCCTTCAAGTGGGTAGGTATGTACCTTAGCTTTGTGAACCGCATCCACATATACCCTAAACCACGGGTCCGGGAGATACGAATGCGCCAGGCGAGTCGGATAGGAGAAGTTCAAGTTGATGATTAGAACAGCTAAGAAGGAGAAGATGATATTGAACCCTAGGTCGCGAAAGCCGTTATATGTATCCCAGGGGTATATTTGCCCGTCGCGGTCGCGGTCCCAGAAGAGGACATGTTGTTGGAGGGGGGTCTATCATCAGATATCAAGTTAGTGCTATGTTTCAATCGATCATATAGAGTGCGTATTGAGGCTAGTACGTACAAAATCGCCAAATTGCTTTGTATAGCTCTCATCCCCGTCTGGCCGGTCAATCGAGGCAGTGGTATTGGCCCGCGGCACCCCCGGCTTCTCAATGTAGTCGTTCGTATAGCGAGCTGGTTGGCGGGCCGCAGTCACGGGGCATTCGGGGACAGTGGTGGAAAAGTCGACGCTGATAGAAGGAGGGCGGATGGGTTTGTCGAAATTGGGTAGTTGGGTTTCCGAGAACGAGACTTTTCGAGGCATTTTGGTGGTTATGGAATTGTCAATTGGTGTAACGGGTCGCAGGAGGTAAAATGTAAATAGAACAGGGGGTAGAAGAGTCAGTTGTTGGTAATGGGAGATGGCTGATTAGAGTATCGGAAATTCGTTCGTTAGGGTTGGTTGGAGTGGGTGGTGATGGCGTCATTGGTCCGGGAGTCATGGTGAGGTCATAGTTGGTGCTATTGATAGTACATCACTTGAAAAGTCACCAAATTTCGTCGGTGAATTAGCGGGGGCTTATCGCCACTGAGAATGTCATGATTACTGCTTATCAGGAGCAGCATGAAACACTCCAATTGAAAGCATGTGGGGTGGATGGCTGGGATATTTTCCGCTGAGATAGTGAGGATATATTTTCCGCTATTGAGTACTAAAGACCACCATGACTGGGTGGCTGAGGTATAGGCTTAAAGGCTACCACCATGCGCAGGTCAAGTTACAAGAGCCCTTTGAAGAAGTCTAATCATGCCATCTATACCCTCTAGCTGGGTCAGAGCTATACTGTGTAACCCAAAAGATGGGACACGCAGGCCTACTTGGGGTCTGACAGTCTGCCCACAAACATAAAGGTCTTCTGCAGTATCTCCACGCCCCGCATACTACATCCACGCAGGCTGGTCTAGGCTATGCTTCCAGCGCCAATCTCTGGGAAATTATCTCTAAACCCGGTTTCAGGCAAATTTGAGGTCCTTGGCTCCATTGTATCGATCCAAGAACGAACTTTATCTAGCTTTTGCACATTTGAATTCTTGGGTCGGTCGTTATGTCATCATGATGCCCCCCGGGGTATATCGTGAACATAAACCCGCATTGGAACACCCAATCTGCCCGTTGATAGTGAAGGGTTGGTCTTGCTCCGCACGACCTTGCCATGTTGTATAAACTGAGCTTCCGCGGCTTTGCTTGCCATCCTGCTAGTAAGCTTACTTCTTTCAAACGGGTTAATTGCCAACTTCTGTATACTGTCTCTTCATACTCAACTTCTGCTCCCCCTCCCAAATCACGCAAACTAGCCACCATGTCCAGTCCCACCCATTGGATGAACACCTCCGGTGAGACGGACCCCGTCTGGGTTCACTCTATGCCGTACTCCAAATATCCCAAGTTCCCATCATTGAATGAGAACGTCGAAACCGAAGTCTGCATTGTCGGCTCAGGTATTGCCGGTATCTCCATTGCCTATGAGCTGGTCAATCGCGGAAAGCGAGTGACTATGATCGAGGCCCGCAATGTCCTGTCTGGCGAAAGTGGCCGTACCAGTGGTCATTTGTCCAATGCCTTGGACGATGGATACACCGAGATCCAGAAGAAGCATGGACACCAGGGTGCCAAAGCCGCCGCTGAGAGCCATACCTGGGCACTCAAGCGAGTCGGGGAGATTTCCCGATCACTCGGAATTGAGTGTGAGTACCGCACGCTTCCAGGGTATGAGATCTCCCAGTACCCCCGTGGGGACCCAAACCATGATAAAGAGGTCTCCAGCCTGAAGAAGGAAGTTGAGTTGGCGAAGCAGCTTGGTCTTCCTGCGTCCTACCGCGAAGGTCTCACCGTGAAGGGATGGGATGGCAACATCGACCAGCGGGACGGTGCCATTTTTGCCGACCAGGCAACCTTCCACCCGACCAAGTACTTTGTCGGGGTACTAGAGTGGCTGCAAAAGCAGCCAAACTTTCAATGCTACGCGCATGCTCGCATGATGTCGTCCAGCGAGAGTGGCCTGGTGCAAGTGACAACCGCCGACGGCTACACTATCACGGCCAAGGATATGGTCGAGGCGACTTGTGTGCCACTTCAGAAACTGAGCGTCATTGCAGAGATGGAGTACATGCGGACGTACTGCATTGCCATTCGTGTTCCGAAGGCCTCGATCGAAGACTGCCTTCTCTATGACGAGGCAGAAGCGTACAAGTACATTCGGTTCACAGAATGCGATGAGAAGGACGACTACCTAGTGGTCGGAGGATGCGATCATAAGGTCGGCCAGGATACGACCAGCGGACGCTTCCAGGAACTTGAGACTTGGGTCCGTGAACGCTTCACCAAAGCCGGGACAGTCGACTATAAATGGAGCGGACAGATCTTTGAGCCTGTGGATTACATGGCATTCATTGGAAAGAACCAGGGCCTAAACCATACATACATTGTCACAGGAGACAGCGGCAATGGTCTCACACACGGCGTGCTTGCTGGTAGACTCATTGCCGACGAGATTATGGGCATTGACAATCCATGGGCCAGCCTATACAACCCCCACCGCCTGTCCAGCATCGCCAAGTCCCTACCCAGTATGTTGGCGCATGATGTTCAAATCAATACCCAGTACAAGCGCTGGATGAAGTCCGACATTAAGGACATCGAGGACCTGGCCGTCGGCTCTGGAGGCGTGATCAAGGAGGGTCTGACCAAACCCGTAGCCGTGTACAAAGATGAGCAAGGCAAGGCGCATAAGTTCAGCGCTGTCTGTCCACACATGAAGGCGGTGTTGAACTGGAACGACACTGAGAAGAGCTGGGATTGCCCTGTGCATGGTAGTCGCTTCAGCTGCGATGGCGTTTGTGTGGAGGGGCCGTCCAAGGCGAACTTAAAGCCCATGGATTCGTTTGCTCAGAAGGAGCAGCGGGCGCAGCAGGCCATTTAGGCAGCTGAAATATTATCTATGGTTTTTATTAGGTATTCAGTGTGTAGCACACGAATTATAAAAAGTTCTAAGACGGAATCACTCCGGATCAATCGACAAAGTTAGAAAAGTAGAGATTTAAACGTTCCCGATCCACTGGAGATCAGCCGGATATTGCCTATTTTGGGCAAGGGTGCGAGTACGAATGGCATTTTACCCAAAATGGCATACGCAACGAAAGCGAGGAGCACCACGTAGGGCAGAGGTTGATCCCCAGCCACGGGTCTTCAATATGAGGTTCAGGGACAGATGCACTATCGTCTCTCGTATATCGCGACCGTTGCCATATTAGTACCTTGAAAAAGTGGGAGGCCACGATGATAGGCCTTCATAAAAGCAGGGCCTCGCTCCCTACCTCCTTGCGACTTTATCGACTCCAGCTCTTCTCTATCGCATACCAGCCATGGAATTCATTCTATACTACTACACACCCTCTGCTGCGGCAGCAGGCATCTTTGTGGTTCTGTTCGGCATCAGCACTGTCTTGCACCTTCTCCAGCTGGTCCGCACCAGAACATGGTTCATGATCCCCTTCTTCATCGGCGGAATCTGTCAGTCACTACTCTCAACGATAACTGCAGGACTATCACTGACCTGATGTCTAAACTCCAGTGGAAACAATCGGATATGTTGGCCGTCTCCTCTCGTCACTCGAAAGTCCCGACTACAGCACGGGCTCGTATGCCATGCAAAGCGCCCTTATCCTCATCGCCCCGGCCTTCCTGGCGGCTAGTATTTACATGACCCTCGGTCGCATTATCCGGATGGTACAAGCAGAACACTACTCGGTGTTCAAATTGAAGTGGGTGACAAAGATCTTTGTCGCGGGCGATGTTCTATCGTTCCTGATGCAAGCGTCTGGTGCGTTCTTCCCCAGCTCCTTATCTTTAGATGCAGCATCGCTAATAGCAGTAGGCGCTGGTCTCATGGTCAGTGGCTCGAGCGACCCAACCACGGGCGAGCACATCATCATCGGCGGTCTCTTCGTTCAGATTATCTTCTTTGGCTTCTTCATTATCACAGCGCTCATTTTCCAAATGCGACTGGCAAAAGCTCCTACTAGCACCTCAACGGAGCTGTCGCACATCTGGCGTCGCCACATGAACGCCCTCTACATCTCCAGCATCCTCATTTTTGTCCGTTCCATTGTCCGTGTGGTAGAGTACCTCCAAGGATACGATGGTTACCTCATGAAACACGAAGTTTTCATCTATGTGTTTGATGCGTTGCTGATGTTCCTGGCGATGGAGGTACTCCAGTTCGTCCACCCTAGCCAGGTCAACTGCTATCTGGGGCGCGGAGACCATTACTCTGAAAAGGTCATCAAGACGCAAAAGTTCATGTCAGTGCCGGTGGAAATGGAGGTTTTGTCCGTTTGAAGAGCTTGCAACTTTCTCCTGGCGGTGTATTTAATGATTGTTATGATTATCGGCGTCCAATGTCTCATCTAACTTGTGTTTGTCAGTGTGTTCACAATAGATGTTATGTTGCCACATATTATGCCTCGTCCTTCCACCATGACAAAGAGGTCGCAGGTTACCTACTCAACTGTGGGATTATGAATGGCAGTATTAAGCTAGGATGAGGAAATATTATCTATTTTTAGCATCACTATACCGTCCTGTGCTGTTGCCTCCACATGAAGCACTAGTATGGCCTTGATGCGCGCTTGACCCCGTGCCGCAAAGGGGCAAGATAGGATCCCGACGGCCCCAAGTTTTAGCCCCATCGGAAGACCATGCAGGGCAACCGCATTATTCCGAGTCAGGGGCAGCTTAAAGGATCACAAGCTTTCTTATCAGCTATAGTCAGTCCGACGAGGCTTTCGCATTTGAGGGAGTGTGCAGAAGCCCTTGCGGTACTTGGGATACACAAGAATTCTCTCAACGTCAAGTTGACATGGCAACGTGCGCCTGATAGTGTAATTTAGTAGGGCCAAATTCATACCAACAGCTAATGTGCAATATGCTGTATGCAACTGCCCAATATATAGACCCTGTAGAGTACCTCCATTTATCAACAGCAATAACGGGATAATTACCTTGCGGTGGGGCCAGTACGTCTATTGAAATCTCGTATTGTCCAACGTCCGCTTTCTGAGAACCCATTAATAACGGATACCACCCGCGAACTCACATTCTCCAAGGCACTGTGATGCAGACACTAACCACCTTCCTCTTTAGGAAAATCCCCTGAAGGAAGTAGAGAGGTATGTCGACCATTTTCAAGTAAGACCTTGCGGCCCCAGGCAATTGCGCCCGCAGAAAGGCCGTTGAGCGGCTAACCATATCAGGATATCTCTTGTCTTTGAACGTACCAAGGGGATATTCCATCTCCATCGGACCAGTAGATCCAAGTAGGACCTTGACAGGAAACCCCACAGCCGAGCTATATCTAAGAATAGGAATGGACCTTGATGAGGCCATCGAATTGTGATCAAGCTCCAGTGACCTCGCTAAATGAGGATGTCGGGGCCCATATTGAATCCGATCTCCCGCTAGAGTCCCAGGGCTTTTGGACCCCACACTACTTCCAGAACGCTTTGAAGAATGGTTTGGGGCCACCACGGAAGGTGTCTCATCTCGGTAAATTGCTGTGACAGCGGTGTATCTGCAGAAAAGCCAGAAAACGCAATATGATTGAGCATGCGAAGAGCTTGGAAGTAATCAATCATAGCTCGATAATTCCCTTGTCAATCAGAACCCGAAGCATTATATCACAGACGATTGAGATAGTCGAATTTGGGGGACAGGAGATAAGCACTAGGATGCGTCGATCAGGCAATTCATTTAGTCTATCTTCGAGACCAGTTGGGCATCTCGTATTCCCGCTAATAGAAGGATTTTACAGGTAGTAGGATGAAACATAGCGTCTTTACCGCGGTGTAGGCGCTCGCTTCAACGAAACCTCGGCATTTACACGAGAATGAGTCTAGGACAATATTCATCGTAACTTCCCTAGCCAGACCATGAAGCATATAAACGCGGTTTTCCCACTCCACAAAGTTCCTCATGTTCTTTGGCAACGCAGTATTCTTACTTCTTTTTTTATCAATATTCTTTCTCGTCATACAATGAGCTCCAAGGTTCTTCAACTTCTTGCCGCCGCCGGCCTTCTTTCGGCATCTGTGGCGTGTTCGACTGAGTCTGATGTGGAAATTACCTTTTACGGGTATCCTGACAACGATCCTCCCAGTGCGGACATTGCCTACGATTGTGGTCGTGGTTACACGGCAGGAGGTATGTTCTTGGAGTTCTTTGGGCTGAGTATGTCAAAGCTAACAGCTGCTAGGCACCGGCACATATGACGACCCTCTCACTTTTGCTACCGCTCCTGGGGAGTTTGAAAAGTGTGAGATCATCTATCTGCCGTACCTTCGCAAGTATCTCCGCTTCGAGGATACATGCGCGCAGTGCAGTAAGTACCCCACGCTAAATAGTGTGCCTCCGCTGACAGAAACAGCTACCGATTATCACAACGGCAGGCTCCACATTGATATTTGGACTGGGTCTACCAAGTCCAGTGGTGGCGATACCCAGATTGACTGCGAAGATTCCTTGACCCCGGATGACTCTCAAACCGTCATCATCAGCCCGGGAACCTCCTACACCGTCAACTGTATGTTAAAGACCCGAGCTAGTACTTACCAGATATGACCTAACTGTCCAATCAAGCGGACGAGCTCTTTGCGAGCGGCAAATGCTATACATCAAACACTTATAGCAGTGCCGATGCTTCGAGCTACTGCAGTTCCGGTTCTTCGGGCTCGAGCTCCGGTTCTGGCTCCGGGTCCGGCTCCTCATCTTCCTGCTCCTGGTCAGGCCATTGTGCCGGTAGGTCCCCTCTTGGAACCCGTGCTTTGTGTTACACTGACCCATGGCATTCAGGTGCTTCCTGCTCAACCGAGAACGACTGCTCCGACAACCTCACCTGCCAGAGTAGCAAGTGCGCCTGATCACAGTACTACTGCCGCGGTAGCTGGACCGACCTTGTTGGACCAAGGCGCGTGACACCGCACAGGTCCTTCCACATCGTGCGATCATCTGATACAATCTGCTTCTTTCCTTCTTTACCTCAGGCCATCAAACCCCGAGAAGTTATCTTCAGAGGATAAGTATGACCAGGCGCGCGGAATCACTGCCACTGGCCATCCGAAGGAGAATACTTTCTACAACGCAGCCATGTATGATAAAGCTATTTGTCTCATCGTTAGTATATGATTAGTTAATGGGAGTTTTATCCTGGCGGGCCTTTTGAGTACATATTCCTATCACATGCTGATGGCGGTACTGCACTTTATCTATTTCCCTCTCTCTAGTAGTCACATCATTGTCTTTCGCGCCTGGGAATATGCATCCGACGGATGAATTGTAAATTTGTCCATGTTGCGAGACGTCTTGCCGCGGAACGTCTGAGCTTCTTGGTGCTCAAGCTTTCTCGAAGTGGCGGACCTGACAAATCACAATGGAAAGATTGTGATTACTGCCATTCTAGGAATGTATCACAGGTGGTCGTCACATTCCATGAGTGCTGTGATTGGTCCTGTCGATCACCGGGTACCACCTGCTATTTCTCAGAGTAACAGCAAAAACGGCAAGACCCAGGCATACTTGCATCTTCGTACTCGCAGACGACTGCACGCAGGACTTCCGTCCTTCTTTCGGCATTAGTTTGCCACATTGCTATCACCCCAGACCTCGTTCAACCTGGTGGTCGACGGGTATAGATAGGTCGCTCTGACCACCAACAGCACACAGGTATGATTCGTATCGAGTCAATTGTGCACTTCTCAATCATGCTCTGGCCATTCGCTAAAACTCCCATACTTCTATTTGTTTTTGCAACATTGATTAACATCGGTCGTTCCAGCACTATCAATTCCTCCTCATGCAGTGAATGCGAGGTAATTCGCCGAGACGTTTGTATTATCGGTGGCGGCGCTGCGGGCACCTATGCTGCGATAAATCTACTTCAAGAAGGTTTATCAGTTGTTCTGGTTGAGAAGACTGGTCGTTTGGGTGGCCATACTATCACGTACATCGAGCCGAGCACGGACACGCCGCTTGACTTCGGAGTGACCCTGTTCGAAGACTCGCCAGAGACCATAGACTTTTTCTCCCATCTTGCAGTACCTTTTACCAAAACTTCCAAGGGCGGTGGATACATGGAACGCATTGACTTTGAGACTGGTGAAGTGGTCGAGCCCTATCCTGGTAATGTCAGCGATGCTTTGGAACGCTATGGAGACATTCTCCGTCAGTATCCCTATCTTTTGGAGGGATGGGACCTCCCAGAAGACATACCCGAGGATCTCCTAATGCCTTTCGGAGAATTCGTCGAACAATACGACCTGGGGGCTGCCGTCGAGCTGATCAGTATCTACAGCCAGGGGGTGCGCAACTGGCTAAACTACCCGACCGTTTATCTGATGAAGTTCGTGTCGTTGGATATGTTAAGAGCGCTTCAGACGGGATTTCTGTCCACTGCTCGACATCACAATTCGGAGCTTTACGAGGCTGCTCTGGAGGAACTGGGAGACGATGCTCTGCTTCATAGCGTTGTAGTGAACGCGTGTCGGGAAGATGACGAAATGCATCGATTGATGGTGGAATCGACGGATGGTACACATTGGATGATCGAGGCCAACACGACTATCCTGGCTGCACCCCCGACAGGGCATGTGCTGGATGGCCTAGATCTGGATGAATTTGAGTCTTCTCTGTTCAGTCAATTCATCTACGGACACTACTATGCCGGCCTGGTGCGGGTAGACGGATGCCCCGAGGGAGTCCAGATTGTAAATCGTGGGTCCGACAGACCTTACTCGCTTCCCTTTCTTCCGTGTATCTTGATGATGTATCCAACCGCAGTGCCAGGTGTGATGGCCGTTGGATACGGTAGCGAGGAGCCAATGACGGAGGAACAAGTCAAGGGGGCGATTGTGGAGGATATTCTGGGACTGCGCCGAGCTGGATACGATGTCGGCGACCCGGAATTCCTGGCGTTTGCCGACCATTCCCCCTTCGAAATGTCAGTTGGCCGGAAGGCCATCGAAGACGGATTCTACCACGACTTGAAGAAGCTGCAGGGACACCGCAATACGTACTATGTGGGGGCAACCTTCGAATATCCAGGGTCCTCGGCCATTTGGCGGGCGGTGGATCGACTGCTTCCATCAGTTGTTGGGAGTATCGGAAGATCACAAAAACCAGAGACCTAGAGGCGTGGCAGAAAGAAGAACACAATGTCACGAAGCATTGGGCAGATTGTAGCTACAAAGTGCACTGCTGGCAAATCATAAACCTGCAGATTATTGGTTGATAGCGTATCGCGGCGGCGATCCCTTGCTATTAGGGTACGTGTTGCCGATTGGTGGTTGGCACCAGATATCGGAAGGGATCCGGCGGGGGAAAAGATATGGCACTTGTCTTCAAAGCTCTAAATATCATTCTTAATCATCCCTCTTGGAATCTCGATCCGTGTAGACCTATTATCCTTTGCTAATCCCTTAACTTTGCGACTTATTGTGATGGACACGGTCGCACCCGCTGTAGAGGCGCACGACGCGCCCGAAGAGTCGCCGGTGATCGCCTCCCGCGTGTTACGCAAGGTGGACAGTCGACTATTGCCTCTTCTCTTCATCACGTATCTGCTTAACTTTATGGATAAAACTATTCTATCAAGCGCATCTGTGTTTGGGTTGATTGAAGATACTGTGGGTGCCTTCCTACTATCCCAATACCTAGGGTATCACTAACTCACTTTCATCAGCATTTAGTCGGCCAGCAGTACAGTTGGGTATCCAGCATCTTCTACTTTGGATACTTCTTCTGGGAATGGGTGCGACCGCAATCCATCCCGATACCTTTCATGAGATAACTGACTCCCCCTCAGCCCACCAACGTCTTGATTCCTCGGGTGCCCGTCGCCAAATACCTGTCCATCAACACCTGGTTCTGGGGCGCCGTGGTAGCCCTGACGGCTGCCTGTACCAATTACGGTGGTCTGTTGACCGTGCGATTCCTTCTCGGGGTTGCAGAGGCCACCATCACACCGGCCTTCATGTTCCTCACCTCGACGTGGTACACCCGCGATGAGATTCCCTTCCGTACGGGCATCTGGTTCTCGGGCAACTCGGTCGGCGGGCTCGTCGCCAGTCTGCTCGCCTATGGCATCGGCCACATTGACCATTCCCTGCATCCCTGGATGTGGATGTTTATCATTCTCGGCGTGGCTACCTTTCTATGGGGTTTTGTCCTTTTCGCCTTCCTCCCGGATAGTATCTCCACAGCCACATTCCTTACTCCCGAGGAACGAGAATTCATGGCTCACCGTGCCGTGATCGCAGGTACCGGTCGGACAGAGAAGACGACATGGAAATGGGCCCAATTCATCGAATGTCTCTGCGACCCCAAGACGTGGCACCTGTTCGCCCTGGCAGTGCTGACCCAGATTCCCAATGGCGGGACACAGAACTTTGGCAACCTCGTCATCAAATCCTTCGGCTTTACATCACTTCAGTCGACACTGATTGTCATTCCTGCAAGTGTAATCAGTGCTGGCACCATTGCCCTCACCGGCTGGCTAGCCAGTCGCTCCCAACATTGGAATTGTCTGCTGATTGTGTGCATTGTCGCACTGTCCATCACTGGCAGTGCCATCATCTATGCTCGTGCTCACCATGTGCCCCTCGGCGCCCAGCTTTTCGGCTACTTTCTGCTGTCCACGGGTCCTGGTGCCCTCCCGCTCATCATGTCCCTCTTGCAGGCGAATTATCGTGGTGTCACCAAGAAAATGACCATCACCTCCATGATGTTCATCGCCTACTGCGCGGGAAATATCGCCGGGCCGCAGTTCTTCAAGTCGAATGAGGCCCCACTCTATCAGACTTCGTTTCGCGCCATCCTCATCTGCTATATTATTTCGGCTGCGTTAGCCGTGTCGCTGCGGTTCTATCTGCAGTGGTTTAATCGGAAGCGCGATCGTGAGGAGGGTGTCCAAGGGACGGCGACTCTTGCTGGTGCTGTTGGTGGCAAAGTCGCCAACCAACGACAGGATGGTAATGATGTGTCGGTGTTGGTGCAGTCGGTGGAGTTGCAGGCGGAGGATTATGAGGATGTGACCGATTGGAACACGGTCGGCTTCCGCTATCGGTTGTAGGTAGACATATAGCTGTCTCAGTACATGTAATTGGAGTCAAAACCAATTCCAGGTGATTGAAGTTGTGTGCCACTGAGTATTCCCCACACAGGAAATATGTTATTTGGCTGAAGTGGTGCTACCGACCAGGAATTTCTTATACTTTGGATGCCTATAGTACAAACACCTGAAAACAGCCTGAACATTCACCTTGGCCTCATGCTTCCTGCACCCGGTGACTTTTCTCTGACTGGCGTCTGGCGTCTGGCGTCTGCGCTGATCTTCCGTGGTGAGCTCGCTGACTAGCTGCGCCGGGATATATTCTGAAGCATCCGGCTGCTCGATTTGGCCTCCAGCCTCGGCGAGAACTAAATTAACTGTGCCTGTGCTCGTAAGGGAGCATTCCAAAGCTGTATGCGGGTTCTAGTGTCCAACTTTTATCATGCCGCCGAAGGATGGTCCAGCATCAGCTCACTGATCTAGGAGAGGTACAATCATATCCGTGAATTCAGTGTCCTCATTGCAGGTTAAACTGCGTGATAGCAGTGGTCCAGGGCTTCAACTAAGACTGATGGAGTCTTCGCGGTAGCTGCTACGGAGCGAGCTGTAGTGCCGGCGCAGTCATCGCCAGTAATCACTAGATGTATACAGACCTATGTTTTGGCAACCTACACATTGTTAATGTAACATGTTTTCTACCGGTTCAAAAACTATGACCATTTCATATCCAAAAAAAGAAATGAAAGAAGAATTGATGACAATATCAGAGTCAGAATGTCGACCGTTTCATGTCGTTAACTAGTATCGAAAACACTGTGGGTGCTCACCAAACACAGTCATGAATGTAAGTAAGCAAGTACAAGAACAGAGGCGTTAAACAAGGAAACCATATACTCCACGGGAAGAAGCATCAGACTCCCATTATAAGCTTCCTAAAAATTTTAGAAGGAAAGACTGCTAGCGAGGACTTGGTAAATATATAGTATATCTATGAATCACTGGTCTCAGAGTAGTGATAAAGCTTAGCCCAAGTGTCCATCC